TCTACATGAGAACTTAACAGGGTATGACAGGCAGTTGATATCTAGAGCTAAATGATAAGTGTTATCTTTTTGTTATTACAAAATAGTTGATTGTTTATGTATTGCTATTGGAATTCAATAAAATTGGTTAGAGATAAAGATAATTTAATTTTCCAACCCGTTGTAGCTTTCCCCAGACTGTGGGAATCAGTAATATTTCACAGGCTCTTTGCACAAATACTTAATAAATCAACAGGGGTCTGTAACTACTGCTGCTCTAAGACATTCACTTCACTGTTAAATAAAAGACTGCTTTACTTGAATTTCAAGCTGTCAAATCCAGCAGGCTGCTTTGTTTGTGAACTTTAGATTTTCAGAGATCAACAGCAAAGTGTCAGGCCATAATCCACAACCAAACTGTCTCTTCAGAGCTCTCCTGCATGTGATTTAGGAAAGGCGATCCTACAGCACCTCATTCACCAACCATTCTGAAGAAGAAGTTTGTTGCTAAATACTCGTCACGCGGTTTTTAAGGGGCTGGGATTGGTTCTGAAAAATTAAAGAACACTCATGAGCATTTGAGTGCATATTGTGTTTTCCTCCGATAAACCTCTGATTATTGAAAAGCATTTGGTCTGACCTGCAAAAAGTTAAATTATGGACTTGGATAGGAATTACACATAAATCAGAATCAGCTTGGCTGTCAGGTGTATAGGCCTGAAACATGAAAAATGTAATATTAAATTGTACAAGATTAAATTAGAAAATAATATAGGCTACAGTTTGTATAACGATGATCAAAAACGTATTAGCACTCATCATGATTTAATGAGTAGTCTGTCATATATTCACTTGTCATACAGCAGCAATGTAAAAGTATACTCATGCTTGATCTTCCTATTAAAGCCAAGGCAGATATCAATTTATGCAAACAATTCAGCTAACTCTCCCCCTAACTCCTCTTTGAAACCCTTTTTAAAACAAATACAAAAGAAATATTAAGATGTTGATGAACATGACTAATCACCGGGAGGAACATCTGGAATTGTTTACGTTCTTGGTGATTGCTCTTGTTGAGTGTCTCAGAGAGTTTTGACAATGACTCAGCACTCACAAGAAGAGGACGATGAGACTAAAACAACTGAATGGAACTCAGTCACAATAATGTCCTCCTCCTGTCAAGTTTGACATTGTTTGGCATAGACTCTAAGTTAATGTTAGGTGGTTTAGTGACCTATAGCTGATGGTAATCTATACAGCATCAACAAGCAATCTTCTCACTTCTGTTGATGCTATTTAGCATATTGTTCTGCCCCAATCTGTCGTCACCATTTTTCTCTTCTTTGTTACAGTAACAGGTCAAATAGATGCTGTTATAATTTACTGTAAGTCTTTCCTCCTTCAGTAGTGCTGCTGACTTTTGTGGCCTCTGTTTGTTTGAGGTCAGGAGATGTGAGAATACTGGTTTGTTACATTTACTCTAACCCTAAATTAAATAATCAGGCAACTAAGGGGTGCATGCAGCATTAAACTCATATTAGCATCAATAATGTCATCTATGGAGGTTGACTATGAAAAGCTTTGACTTTCTACTCTTTCGAATCTGCATCATGATGGTATTTTGGTAAAGTTTGTTTTGTTAATTTCAATCAAATAAAAAGGAAGTCTGATTTATTGGCTTCATGCTGCTACAGTGCCGTCTCTGTTTGACTAATTATTCACAGTTAAACAAAGACCCACTCGAAACAGATGTACACTCACTCCTCAGCCATAAAAGAAGACCAGTAGTTTGTTTCCATTTAAGACATTTCCTCTTGGTAATGTAATGAATCGAGATATTACAATGTACTGTTTACTCTGCTGTCATCTTTCCTAACACTTCTGAGATCAGCATACAAAAATATCCTAATATCTAATCTCTGTTTTGAGGTCTTTAAAGGAGTTGGAAGAATTGATTAATTTTTCACAACAAATCCACATTAATTCCATAAAACATATGTAAAACACTGTTCATGTGTTTGTGAAGGGAACAAAACTAAATCTCATCTGGCACTCTGTCCGCAGAGGAGCTATAATTTAAGGGTATTGCAGATTTTCTGTGCTAATATTTGTTGTGTATCCAAAAATCGTAGATCATAACCAAACACATTTTAAATTTATGACACAGAAAAGGCTGATGGAGTCACAACTGTGTTTAATAGCCGTCACCTGCTAAGTGGATATCATAAATATATTCTTAAACTGCTGATACCCACCAGAGGTTCACTTGGAGACTTGACCTTATTGTTTTGGGTTACATCAAGATTCTATTTTCTGCTGTGTCAGTGCCAAAGGTCTATAGGTCAATAGTGAAATGATATAATCAATATCTAAATGGAGACACATTGGGAGGTGATGACCTGTAGTGGCAGCAGAGGATATGGGCTAATATTGATGGCATTATTGATATCCCCAGTCATCTTAAAGACAAACACTTAAATCTCTATCTCAAGCACACCTCACCATCTCAGATTTGGAAGACAAATCACTTTTAGGTTTGCAGGTTAATTGTATCGAAAGTCTTTTTGGAGTTGCTTTTTGAAACATCAAAGATGAGTCTGGGAAAACGAATCCAAGTGTCTTTTCAATCCAAAAAGTTATCCACGAAACACTCAGCTCAGACTGTTCACTGTTCATTTGAACCCATCCAACCTCTGATAGTGTGGTCAAAGGGTGAGTTAAAACCGCTGCCTGTGAGATAAAATTCAAAACCAATCAGAGCTGGACCCATTCATATCCATTATACTCTGAACCGGATCGATAGTGACAAGGTCTGCAGCTCATCGCTCTGAGGCTGTCAGTGGGGAAGCCCTAATCTATGGGAAAATGGGCGGCCACCAGCGCTGGCTGAGGCAGGACTGTATAAATGAAACATGGATGTTTATCAAGCAAGGGGAAGATTTATTTAGATATGTGTGTGATTAAGTGTTTGATGTTCCCTTTTGAACACAATGTGAGCCAGGGCTTTATCAGACGGGAAGGGTGGCTGACTGCATGTGTATGCGTGTGTGTGTCTCTGTCTGCTTGTGTGTGCGAGAAATTGTGCATATGTGTTGTCTTTTTTCCCCCTGTACAGCATTTGAAACTCTTTTTTTCCCTTATTTAAAGCATGTTGCTTTGGTACCCCCTGAGCTTTGTAAACCCCTGGGTGGTCGATATGGCCTAGTTTTTGAATTTCCTGCTGCACACAGCGAGGCACACACAAACAACTGGCACACCTACAATGCACCGTCAGCCCCACTTGCAATAGTACGCTCACACAAAGCAATACAGACCGCATAAGCGAATCAACCGAACATATATGAAGGCGCTTTATTTTTTCAGATTTTCACTCAAGAGAAGACAAGAAAAGCAATAGAGAAGGGGAAAGAGGGGATGAGGGAGGGAAGCAGGGAGAAGATGAGGCGGGAGGGGGAAACAAGGGTTGAAATATGATAATGTGTCACTGTATATGGAGTCGAGCCAAGACACATGCTGTGAATAATCTGTGGTGGTTTTTTCGCTGAGCCGGTTGTTGTAGCATTAAAAATATAATGCCAAATATGTCTGGCTTGCCTTAATGAAGACAGCCTGAGGGAGAGGATAATTAAGAGGAAAGGATGAGAAGTTTGCTTCTATACGGCTTTGAGAGCAATCCAGTGGGTCTTCCTCACAGTTTTAGGCGAGATTATCGAGACTTTGCCAAACCGTGTGACCCTTTCATTGGTTTCAAGATGTTCTGATTTTAAAAACAGTGTCAAAGATGTCCATCAATAAACCAAAAAGTTCCTGCAACAAAGGTGAAAGCTCTACTTTCCTTCCCTCCTGGGTCTGCAAGTTGCTTTATATGTACAGCAAAGCACATGAATAGTCCGAGTCCTCAAAAAGTCCTCTTATTATTTTGGTTGAATCGTGAAAAGGAATACAAATGCACAGAGAGATACAGATATAACAGCAGGTGCATAGTAATACAATTCATCACCCCGAAATCCAGGTTTAGGCCTAAATCTACTGAAGTGTTGAGTCCCAGAGAGTCTTGAATAAACCGCTCTGAATCCAGTGTAGATTTCACAAGACAAAGTGAGAAACTTTAAATCCACAAAGCTGAGGTTTTATGAAACGCACTCCTCAACCTTTCGCTTGACTTCCTCTGCGTGCCCTTTCGCAAGGAGAAATGAAAACGATCTGATTGATCAACCAATTATTTAAGTGACCACTCGACTCATCGATTACCGTGTAGGGAAGTATCTTGTCACTTTGAGCAAACAGTTGCATGTGGTGAACTTTTCAATACGCAGAAATCAATCGGGTTGTATACGATGCACACAAAAAAAAGCACTGATCAATATTGTAATATTCCTGTAATGTTGCGCACATCACTGAAAACCACTTCAATGAATCTGAATACATGTCTATACAAATACACTGAGTTACACAAGTACAAAGCTGACGCACACGCACAAAGAAACGTACACACATATTTCATCCCACATGCTCTGTAAATAGAGAGCAGGATGTTGCAGACATTCGGGTGCACGAACAAACAAGAGATGTTCCTAGAAAGAGAGAGATAGAGAGAGAGAGACAGAGGGATGGATGAGAGAAAGAAAGAGAGGGAAGGAGAGAATGAGGGGTAGGTGGACAGATGAAATGGTGACTCAGGGATGAAATGTGTAAAGAAAAGATTCAGCACTTGGGATAATTCTCCTCTCCTTTTTCTCCTTTCTTTTCCTCCCTGTGGATAAAAAAGGTTGTATGAGACAGACGGGAATTTAACTGAGAACTTTGCCCTTTTTTTTCCCACACACTCACTCGCTCCTCCTCCTCCTCCTTTCTCCTTCTGACCCACCTCGTTTTTTTTTTTTTTCGCTTTCTTTTTTTGCCCTTCTCCTCGTGTCCTAGTGCAGGAAGAGTGCCTCGATGTTTTGCCATTCCTCTATGTTAGAGGCAGCAATCATCAAGTGGTCAAGACTGGCCTTAATGAAAGAAGGACTGTTCAGGAAATGGGACCCAAACCTCCTGCCTGTGTGATTTGTGATATGAAAAGTGAAATAGAAAGGTGAAATTGAAAGATTTCAAGTCTAATAAAATACTACATTGGTTGGCACTGAGCCACACTCTCCAAAAAAATAATCAATTTGAGAAAGAAATACACCACCTACACAATTTATTTGTACCTTTCAACTTCTGTTAGCGTGGCTTTATCTCTGTAATGATGCTGTTATGTTTAACCAGAGTCTGAGGCTCTCCATGAACCTCTTCACCCTGCTAGTAGCTGAACTACTTTGATGCTTACTGTCTGCTCCAAAGGAAGACAAGAATTCTCTGTGTGGCTTTTAGATGAGGGTGACAGAATGACATGTAGTTTATATAGAATGACAGAAACTTCTCAGGAACATGTTAGGTATTCTTGTGAATGCGATGCAGCATACAGGAACTTGAAGAAGCCCAGCTCGTTGGAACATACTGTACTGCTCTTTGAAATTTACTCATACATATGAATTCAAATGCAGTAATGACAGATGGATAAAGTTTATTATTGTTTTTGCTTGTCTCTAACAAGTGCACAAAGCATTACCTTATGCAAACTGTATCTAAAAGAACTTAAAATGTCATAAGCTAATGTTAAAATCCAGATATCCATCTTCCATCAAGTGACAAGCGTTGGATATTTGGGGTCAGCAGTGAAAATGTATTGTCCTCTGGTATAGTCGGCTGTTATTGATAATTTATGACAGAAACCTATAGACTTTTTTTCTTGCAGGTAATTGTTTACAGTTGATTGCAACTGGTTGTAGTTTGAGTCAAGAGCCAGCATCTACCACTGTAATTCATATGATATTGGTTTAGTTAACAAAACCCAAATTACTCCCAAACAGACGTTCATGGGTTGCGAGATCGCATCAACCTGGTATTCTGCCTGTATTCTGATCATTTTTTCCACACCTCTGTGCTACAAATCATTCAGACCATTTGCAGTATGAGTAATGTGCAGCATGTGATGTTATTGTTAGGTAATTCATTGTTTACATGCAAATTGTTGATTGTTTTATCAATATTTTTGAATTATTACAACTGCAGAAGTGGCAATGGTTGCTGTATGTATCAGATTGTTTGGGATCAGATGGTGTTATATTGTCCTTTAGGTTATCTTGTGGTATAGCATGGTATCTTATCCCATGGTGTTGTACCATATCTTATCGTATGGTACCAACTTTCATTATATGTTGTTGTTTCTCACCTTATGGTATTGCACCGTATCAGATCATTTCTTATTATGTTGTTTGGTTTCAAAACTTGATTGAATGTTTTGAATAGGATTACATTTATCATATCACATTGGATCACATCACATCGTCCTCAGTTATATGGATCAGTGTTGTTTTCGATGACGTTGACGAAAATATTTCATCAATGTCATCGTCAACGAAAACAAAACTGCAGAATATATTTTAAGCATTTGACTGACGAAATGCTCTTGAATTTTGCAACTCTGTTCGTCATCCATCACTAACGTTTTCGTCTAGTCTCGTCAACGTAAACGCACATTCGTCTCGTCACATTTTAGTCATCTAAGACGTATGTTTAGCTCTTCAACATCACGTCTTTGTCGTGGAAAAAAAAGGGGTGTTGACGAAATATTTTTCACCACGCCCATTTTTATGCATTACCTCTAAACTTGCTTAAGTAAGATTGGCTGACTCTACAGATAGATAGATAGATAGATAGATAGATAGATATACTTTATTGATCCCAAACTGGGAAATTCTCTTGTTACAGCAGCAAAAAGAAAAAACAAACAAAATAACATTAAATATAAGAAGTAAGTACAATGCAGACTAAAAATACTAAGTATATACAATAAATACAAACTAATATACTACTCATCCTAAGAGATAAAAGTGGGATATGAAGAACGTGGGCTAATGACTTATGACTTGACTCTATCACTTAAAATTGAATTCAAACTATTTCCATCGACTAATTCGGAGAAACTAAAGAAACCCTTAACTTCATCTCCATGTTATATATACATGTATGGTCTGTGCCCTGTGAAAAACATACCTCTTAGTGGTTTAGCACTGCTTTTAAACACTTTAGTGAAATGAAACCCTGCTGTGTGTCTATGAAGGTACTCAAAAACATTCATTTTACGCTAATGAAGCTTTGCATTCCTGTGTTCTTCTGTGTGAAATGAGAACAAAATCTGCCGCAGTACATTTATAGAAATAGAACAGCAACTCGGATTTGGGGATTTTCACCAAATTAATGTGTGAATGATAAACACTGCAAGTGCTGTGAGTCTCTGGGGATTCCTCCACCACCTGAGGTAAGTCTGGATATGAGTCAAAAAAATCCCAGGTCATCTCTTGAAAGCATCTTTGAGGAGAACTTTGCAGAGAATCAAGGGAGGGAGCAGTTTGAAGTCTCTTTCTCTCTCTCTTTTCATTCTTGTATCTTAAATTCAGATTATAAATAAGTGGCTAACATTTTGTGCAGGTTTTAGAAATTCATCCAGCCTTTCCTTAAGTTGAGTATGACACTTATCCTAAACATACCTATGATTCCTTTGAGATTGACATGTTTTCAACAGCTTGTGATGAGTTCATGTTCTGTGCAGTTCATATGTGATTTGTGATTTGTATCTTGACCTACTTGGAAAAAACTTTCATGAGGAGGTTTGTTTAATTCAATTCTCTGAATGTTTCTGCCGCACCTCTGATCTCTCTCTCTCTCCTCTCTCTCTCTCTCCTCTCTCTACACACTCTCTCTCTCTCTCCCTCCACTCCGGAGCTTATCTCGGTGCGCATCGTCAGCATCAGTTTGAAGTCAAATCTGACAGCCTGCTGCCTTGCCCGGTCCTTTATCCTTTTTTTCCCATCTCTTTCCCTCTCCGGTGGTCATCCCTTCTCGTGTAAGAGGTACAGACCCGGATTAGCGGGCTAATCGTGTGTAATTATTGATGTACTTTTTGGGTGGGTGGGAGGGTAAGAGGGAGGGGGGGAAGGTTGACCTCGATTGCCGCCCGGGATGAGATAGTCCTCTCTCGGCTGCCGTGCTTTTCCTCTCAGTGTGGTCTTCTTACCCCCTTTTTTTTCTTCTTCTTTGCAGTTGTGTCGGGACTGTGGGAGCGCGTCTGGCTTCAACTTGGGGTGAAGAAAGACAGAGGAAACTCCTCGGGATTCTCCGTACAACGAGCTCTGATTCGGATATTCTGGTGAGCACACTTTTGGCGTAATTGTTGCTTTGTATGCCCTCTTTTTCGTCTTCCAGGTATATAAAAAAAACGCGCGTAATGTGCTTGTCCATAACGTTGTCAGTCTAAATAAGCTTTTTCGTGCTCTTTAAACATTGAAAGCGACATTTCATGATTGTTTTCTCAGGCTATAGACGCTAAATAGGCGCGCGTGCACGGTGCTTAGCAGCGCAGCTCGCTCGCTCTTTCCTCTCTTTCTCAAATTTCTCTTTTCACCCCGTGGCAGCCAACTTCTTCTTTCTCGCTTATTATGCATGAGAATTAAACGTGTCCATTTGTGACTATTACCAGTCAGTATTCCTCTCACGCAGGTGTGAGGAAGAGGGTAAAACACAGCCGGCCGGGGTGAGGAAAGGGGAAGAGTGGAGAGAGAGAGAGAGAGAGAGAGAGAGTGAGATTAGGTGAGAGGAGGAGAGTGAGAAGAAAGAAACATTTTAAGGGATCCCTCAGGGAAGCGCTGCTTTCTTTTCCCTTTTATGAGGAGGATTTTATTAGTCTTTTATTTTCTTCTATGATGACATAGGCTGATATTGTTCCAAAGCTTCTACTTAATATGCTTTTATTGTCAGAGCCATTACTCCCCACTATATACATAGTGACATCCTACAGTGCTGCTGGCTGTGCTGTAGGCAGAAATCTATGAGGCCATTTGCTTCTTTTATTGTCCTGTTTATCAATTAAGCCTGTCTATAATGGAGATCTCACACTTCCTCCAACATAAAACATCACTCTCCCACACACCATCCGCTAGCATCTCACCTCCCACATAGCCAAACTTGCTGTCCACAGCCGATTATCTGGTTATGTGCCACCATTTGCACTAATAGAGAGTCCCTACTTAATGTAATGACAACTCGATCTGTCAGGCCGGGCACGAGCGAGGGCCGCTTAAAGGCTCATAAGCGGTGTCATAAGGGCAGATTGAGGAGCTGTAAAGACACACAGGACATGACAAAGTGCCCGTGGAGGTTGTTGGAGTAGTTTGCTGATGTGTTTTATTGTTTTATGCATAGTGTGAGGCTGTCACTGTGAACCCAGGAGTTAGTGTGTGTACGTGTGTGCCAGATTTGCTCAGTCATGTGTATGCAAGGAAAGAATAAGTGAGCAAAAAGAAAAGAGGGACAGGGAGAGGGACAGAGAGAGCGAGAGAGATTATGCTAACTCAAAGTACTGGGGGAAGAGGAAAAACCCATGTAAGCAGTTTTTCTTTAGCCTATATATTTATATATTTAGCTGTCAGGGCCTTCACTAATACACAGTTGGTTCTTCAGGATTTGACATGCTTGTCACCAACATGGGGTTTAAAGAAAAGAGGGCAACTTCTTGTTTGAGCTGAGCTTTACCGGAAACAAGGGGGCAAACTAAGAGGATTGACCAAAAGAAACTACTGTCAAAAACACATAAAAATGACACGCATTCAGACGCTCATTATTTAAGAAATTTGCAGGGACATTTCTGTCAAGGTGCACTTTTGACAACTTGTCTGCCTCTTGTGCGATCCCTTTTTTTCCTGATTGGCTATCTTCCTGGTCAAAAGTGTGATTTGGGTTTAAACTGTTGCTTTGGGCATGTTGCAGCATGTTTTTGTGGCATTTAAATGTTACAGATTTATTTAGACAATATATTCAGTGGCTTTTGAGGATAGTATTATCTATAATTTTACTATTTTCTGTTGTATATATTATAAATACTTGTATATTATCTCTTTATTTCAACTTTTTATCTATTCATCTCTTTATTCTTACTAATTTCACTTACTTTATCTATTATTTATCTCCTCCTTCTACTTTATTTGCACTGGAGTTACTGTAACAAAAAGCAATTTCCCCCTGGGGATTATTAGCATGGAAGTTACTGAAATATGAAGTCAAGGGTGAAGTTGTCGCGCAGATCTAACTCTACGTATAAAGTGCAGCTGGTTATAAACATACCTGTTATCCTCAATTCAAACTTTACCTCAAACAGATATACAAAGTTTTTAAAAATGTAATACAAACATCATGTTATAGGTTGTTGGAAAGTGCAAAAAAAAGTAGAGAAAAGTGATGTTGGACCTGTAACTAAAACAAAGTTTACTATCTGGACTGAGGGAAGAATAGTTGCCAGTGTAATAACTAATCGGGACCCTAAATACACAAATGAATAAATAAAAAGTCACAATAAGTCGATAAAAATGTGCCCCTTGTCATCACCCCTCAGTTTGACTCCACTCCACTCCTCAGAGGAGCTTTAGTCTAGGATCCATGCAAATGTTCTGGAGGATTTAAAAAAAAAATCTCATTGTCGAACCATCCAGAAAATCATTCAATGAAGCAGTCATTCACCCTCAGCCCGTGTCAGGTGAAAATGAGCAGGTGATGTGCTGACATGGTGTCGCTGATAGCCATCAGGATGATGATGATGATGATGACGACAGTGTTCTGGCTCGTCTTAATGACAGTTATAATACTTATCATCTGATTACCATTGATGCTGCTAATGAAGGAGACAGGTTGAAGCATTACATCATAGTGAGAGCCGTGTTACAGAGCTGCAGTCAGGAGTGGGGCGCTTAATCTGACACCAGAAGAAGATCCGAAAAGACTTGATTTCCCAGAATGCTTTCCACTCTAAGAGCTGTTAGAGAAGAGGCAAACACTAGGTTACAGGGTTTCATATGAGAAGTAGACAAGTTGTGTGTCGTTTGACAGCATGAAAGAATGGATCTTCTTGTATTCGGTGTTAAGATGGTGGGCTGGCAGCTTTATCGCAGTCTTAAGAACATGACAGTCCGTGCAAAATGGTAGCAGCGTACATAGCCAATCCTGTTTTTTTTTTTCTTCTTGTGACAGATTGTGTGCTTGTGTGTGTGTGTGTGCGTGTTAGTTTTTTTTTCTTTCCTCCGGTTGTTGTTTTTTTTCTCTCGGACACACACTGACCAAATCACACATAACGGGCACTCAAATGAAGTTACGTTCGTTATTTCATTTATAACTTGGCTAACAATGCCGTTGACATGTTGTTGTAATGATACAATGCGTTGATTCAGACCTGCGGTCACACTTGCCTATTCGCTTAAGTAAAAAACGACCTGTTTCTGTGACTTACCCGTCCTTTCTGTCATACGGTACACAGTCTTGGGCTTCAAATAACCAAGTGCAAACATGCATACACAAAGGCATGTTTTTTTTTTTTTATTTCGCGGGGACAGTCCTGGTGTGCTGGTGCAAACCCAACGACTCGGTGATAACGAGGTTGAAGTTACTTAGGAATTTAGTTGTGCTTCAACCTCCTAACACCCTTTCTAAATCTGATTCATCCCAAAATGAGATGTTTTTCCAAGAGAGGGAGATGAAAACACTCTCTAGTTCTCTCTCTCCCTCCCTTCTTCTACTGCCAAATACAGTTGAGCTCACCCCCCTCCGCTCCCCTCCTTTTTCTATTACTCTCATACTCTCACACACTATCTGTTTCACACCCCGTTCCTCCCTCCCGTTCTCTCACATCTCTCTCTTCTCTCCTCCCCTGGCACCTCGATGTGTTTCTTTTTAATTGAGATGCATTTCAATGTGGTGCAAATTAGCTTTCTACAGCTCCAGTCTAAACTTGCAACCTGTGTGTGTCTGAGTGTGTGAGATTGTGTGTTCATGCATGTTTGTGTGCATGTGTAATCTATATGTGTGCGTGTGAAAAGAATTCCCACAGTTGAAAGCGCTACCTTCCTGCCTGTTTCTTTCCAGCCAGCACAGCTTCTGATGCCCCCCTCTCTCTCTCTCCCTCTCTCTCTCTCTCTCTCTCTCTCCCTCTCTCTCTCTCTCTCCCAAAAACTCACACTTTTAGTACAACATTAATTACACTCACTTGCTTTGGACTGTTTTACTTTGGCTGCAGGAATTTATGTACCCTTCCCCCCCTTCGTCCTCCCCCCTGGATTTGAATTCTGATCTGTGCCTTCGAGAGATGGCAGTGCATGGCAGCTCATTAGGGAGTGGGCCGGAAATCAGTAGGGTCAGGGGGGTTTATAGAGACAGGTTTCACTTATGCAATACTTGCCCTTCTCAGCTGATCTGATCTGGAGCTCTATTTGCGTGAAGAGAAGTGTGGCAGGTGATATCCTGTGCACCGCGTCTGGTGAGGGTAGGGGCGCCGTAAGAGGACAGGAAAGCCATTGTCACAGTCCTTTCTAAATCTGTCTGGAATAAAAATGGCAGCAGCTAGAACCTGCGTTCTTTCTACAGCTGAGAGTTTGCACTTGAGTCATCCCTGTTTTTATATTGCATTCAACGATGACGTCATTGTGCTTCTTCACACAGAGAGCGTTTAGATGACAGGTGCTCTCCCCAGTCTGGCTGCAGGAGATAGTTACCTCCGTAGTCTGGTTCAGTCTGATACAAATAGTGTTTAGTTCTCTAACACACAAACTAGAATAATCCAAATTAAAAAAAGTTTGAGCATTCCTCCAAAACTTTTTAAAACCTTTGGGTTGTTCAGACTCAAAAGTAAAATGATGCAGCCATACATGAATTAGAGATGTAAAAGAAACTACTGAAATAACAATATGTGTTCAGCGTTCATATGACGTCTGTGTTTGTGTGGCAGCAATCCTGTTCAGTCTTTCCAGAGTGAAGGAGGAGGTTGGTGTGTCATGGTGCCATCAGACTTGATTAACACTTACACTTAGGACTGGGTGATATGGCAAAAATAAATGATTAAGATATATTTTGTCACATCTTTTTGGTATTTTTTTAAACTGCCAGTTTTAAGCATCTGTACTAAAAACTAAAGAAACCAGAGATTAGATCAACATTTTTTCAACATACTCTGTTTACTTCTCCGGCAACTTACAGAAGTGAGCAGGAAAAGCTCGACACTAATTGGCTGTTGTGACGCACATTTCCACCATGTTTGATTGAGTAAATATCCTCACAGCTGATCACCGTGATTGAATTGAAATTTATCACAACCATTAATCATGATCATATAATCGCCCAATCCTACTTATACTTGTGGTGCTTGATCTGTGCGTGATCTGTGTAGCCACTTACCCTATTTTTCGCACTATAAGGCGCACCTGATTATAAGGCGCACCATCAATGAACGCATTTATTCGCATGTATTTTTATACATTAAGGCGCACCGGATTATAAAGCCAAACAAAACAGTCAGATAAGTCAAACTTTATTGAACTCATTCAGTAACTCCACGAGGCTACGGTAGCTTCAGTGCTCCGACAAGCCAAAAGGATACGGTACTTTAGACACACTGCTGCTCAAGTGCCGCTGTCACCTTTCCACTTATCGACGGGGCGGGGATGTAATTATGCACCGCCCCCCCCACTCTGACCAGCCGACAATAATTGATAATCACATGCTTTAGTATTGTGTGTGTGTGTTTTTTAATTCAATTCTTTTATCTCCAGTTATTTGTTTATTGACTCAAAATTCCTCAGCTGTAGCTGAAAAGCCTCCAGGAGACGAAGCTTTTCATGGTAGTCCTGAAATGACACCACTGTAAGCAGAAACACCATTGTTCATAGAGTTCATAGAGTTGGAAGGTTTTTGGTAACTGCTTATTAAATTCACATTTCCAAGCAAGGCCTGCCGAATAGGAAGATGGAAAATACTGCAGCACAACCTCAGATTTCACATTCAGACCTTTCTTTAATCTTTTTCTTTTTACTGCGAAATACTCTCAAATTTTCAGGCAACAGAAAACAACTCAAAAGAAAAAACACTTAGAAAGATTATTTTTCTTTGCTTGAACTGCCTACACGTGAAGCCTGTGATACAGGGTTGAAAGTAGACTTATCTTGAAAAAAGGTCTCCTGCTAAAGAAGAGCCAACCGCTGAATTAGAGGGATCACGCAGCCTCATTTTGAAGTGCTTTGGTGAAAAAGTTCCCATCATAAGTGGTGTTAAGAAAAATTTTCTCACAACCACTTCTTGAATATAAAAATCATGAAGCGTCTCGCCGCCGCAGGTTTTTACCCCAGTTGGTCTCTGGTGTGAAGTGTGACCTAACAGTACAGGAGGAGTATGACTTTGTGCGATTGTATGTGTGTGCGCACATGTATTTTAGAGAGCTGGAGGAGTCGTTAGGGAGAGTGATGCTGACAGTGGGGTGACCTTGGGGCTCCCAGTCTTCCTCCTGTCGATGAAGGGGATGACTTAGTGCCTCCCAACCCACCAATGATGGCTCATTTATTATCATTAGGCACACAGTCAAAAGAAGCTGCTCAGGCCCTCAAAACAGAGCCGTACATCTGCGTGTGAGTGCGCTGAGAGTAAGAGACATCAGGACAGAGACAGAAAGGGAAGTCTTATCTGTAATGATAAGCTCTGCACGTTTGAGCATATGTGTCTGTCAGCCTGTGTTTGTCACAGAAGCACCTGCCTTTGTGTTCGCTTCTGAACGTGTGTTTATCCATAACTTGACTCAAGACACGTCGCCTGTCGGTGCACATCTGCCGCTTAAACGCACCAACCCCGCCTGCTTACTGTGCAGGATAAATAACAGCCTGTGCCATAACCCTAACGCTACGTCACCTCAGCCAGCCAGCCAGCGACATCGGTGGTATATGCGTAGATCAGGGCGGCCTCTGTGCTATCGTTTCTCAGCGTGATGGATGGAGACTTCTGCAGGCCAGTCAATACCCAATCTGAGCCCCACTGTCCTGATTTAAGATACAGCAGCACCCAGGTGACACACTCAGAAGCACGCCACTTTAATCACTCTGAGCATCAACTCTACGCTGCCAAGATTGGTGTGTGGGTGGCTTACTGTGTGTTTGTGAGTGTATGTGTGTGTAAGTGTGTGTGTAAGTGTGTGTGTTTGTATTAGTATCTCACTCAGTCAAGCACTGCTGTAATCACACAGCGATCAGGCGAGTGCCTGCCACCTCTGACAGAGTTAACATTTCTTTGGAATGAAAGGACAGCAACATAAATAATGTGAGATTTATACTGTGTGTGTGTGTGTGTGTGTGTGTGTGTGTGTGTGTGTGTGTGTTGCGCTGTAACAGAAAACATATGTAAAAAGTATAGATGGAAGTTCTTAGTTACATTTCTTGTGGGTTCGATAAAGAGTTGATGTGTTCCTTTAACTTTGTTTTTTCTGGTACCAAGTCTGACTTTTACACCTCTGAAAAAATGTTGTTTTCTCAGCTATTCTGTTCTTATCGTTCATATTTAAAATATAAATCCTAAACTAAAACGAAAGGTTCGAGTTAATGTTCGTAGCAGCTCCGCTCTCTGACCCCTGCCCTTTTGTTCAGCAAAATTGTGTCAAACCCTGTTGTTCTATTTTTGAAAATCTATATTGACAGTCTGTCAGTTGTCTGTTTTATCAGTCTGTTTGTATAAAGCTGAGCAGAACACACAGACTTTGCAGGGTCCATTGATAGATCATATTTACAGTACTTCATTTTGTGGCATTAGCTTTAGCGGAACGATACAAGGTAAGGAGGGAGAGGAAGGTTTATTGTAAAACTTTAACCCAAAATCTGTGTTCTTTTTTTGCTGTTCTGTGGCTCAAAATTATTAATATTTAAGCTCCAAACTTCAAAAAGTCAGGAGCATCAAATAAAAATTACAAAGCATCAAATGAAACATAACTTCTATCTACGTTTGGTTGAGCTGTCCAGCTTATAGCACGAGATTCCTGCAGTGAACCTCTGCGTTCACATTAACCACTTCAACATCATCCCACCAACTTCAGGAATTACATTTTTCCATAATGTTCAACAAAAAATCCCTCTTAATCTCCTCTCTTTGTGAGTTTGACTGACTTTGCTCGAGTTAGCTCTCCGCCGTGTGACAATGAGGCGCAGGGGAGTGAAGTGATAGTAGCCAATGAGAAATTGGCATGGAGAGATTAGGATGTCAAGTAGTTGTGTTAGCGCTGGATTAAACGACGGGTGGTGTGAAAAGCGTGCGAAGAGCCGCACATCATCCCGCTTTACTGATGTCATCAGTCTGCGCCTCTCAGCAGGCAGTGCTAATAAACCGTCGGCCTCTGTATTAACAAGTATTTAAAAAAGGTTGCACTATAACGATCATTTGCACATGCACAAATGCTCCCAGATATCAGGAGAATATATGATGTTGTTTTCGACAGCAGCACTTGATAGCTGCAGCTTTAAAATGAATTATAACAGTGTTGAAAGCTATTTTGGAACAACAGGAGAAAGGCTCGCTTTGTACAAATGGAAAGTATCGAGACAGCAGTATTTTTTTATAAAGCCTTTATCTGTCTCCCTGAAACAGATGGCTACATTTCTAATTACTTTGTCAAATGGAGGACTTGTTATTTTTTTGTTTGGATTGTGTTGAATGCGGCTTTTTTTTACTACTAAGAGACTGAAAGGATGTGGATGGTTGGGCATGCGACGCATACAGATCACCTGAGGGTAAGATTTGTGTCCTGTGCGTCACTTCAATTCTTCAGTATATTTAGGCTACTAGGCCACACGATTAAAGGTATGAGGAAGCTTGTGGTTTTGGTGGTTTTCCATCATGAGTCAGCTTCAAGTCGGGATTTACATTTTCTCTGCGTTTACCCACGAACATTGTCTTTCTCTAGCACGTTGTCGGTGGCATAAACAGCCCCTTAAAAACATTACTCATGCACAGGATTGGATTTGGAGGGAGAATCTGTGACATCATTTGAATGTGAATGATTTTTTAGATTAAATATTTTGCATTTTCTAAAACAGCTAAAACGTTATTAAAAATTGTAGTTCAGTAATTCTTTTCCTGAACGTGGCGAAACATTTCTCCTGTGCTTCTTCTTCTTCTGGATTGCTGCATTTGCATACGTGGTACAAACAAGTACATTTAGCAAAAATTGCTCTAGGATTAAAAAAAAAAAAAAGCAACAACTCAAGAGTGAAAAGGTGGGCAACTTAGATCCAGCTTCCTCGTAGTTTACACTCCACTGCTGTTTCAGTTTATGAGCGCATCATGCAGCAGAGAACGCTTCAGTACGTACGGTAATCAAAGCAAGATTGTGTTTGTATGACTGAGCGGCTGGATATCGCTACTTTATCAGGGAGTAATCTGTTTGCATTGCTCCAAATTGTTCCCTCTTGACATGTCATCGCTCACATACATGCACAACAGATACTTAGTTGTGTACACACACGGACACACACACACACACTTCTACGGCCCCTCCCCTCCAGCCCCTCCGCTTTGGCTGTTAGTCTAATTTATGAGGTGCCGTTAATTTGGCCTAAACGCTCGTTGCGAGACCTCCCTCCTCTCTCATCCCTTCATCTCTGCATCCCTCCTTCTCGTCCTCCTCCTCATCAGTCACTCGGCAGAGTAAATCAGAGGGGTGGTATTGCACAGCAGGCAATACATAGACTGGACACCTTGACTAATATACCGCTGTCCTTCTCCCTCCCTCTCTCACTCTCCTGCTGTCTGTCTAACTCTCTCTGTGCCCCCTGTTCTCTTCTTTCTCTCCATCACTCTTGCCTGCTGTCTAAATCAAATTTGGCTCTTCTCCTCTCCTTCCTTTCCTCTCTTTTTTTTGTGTGTGTATCTACACATCTTTTCCTCTTTCCTTTGCGTCCTCCCTGTGCTTTTCTCTCCCCTCCCTTTTTTTCTTCTTCTTTCTACCCACTGTCTTCGTACTTCTGTCCTGCACTCTCTCCGTCTTCCTCGCTCCCTTACCTTGCCTTGCTTCTCCCTGCCGCCTCCCCCATCCTCCTGTTCTCATGTTAGGTGTAAATTTAGAACAGAAGGCATGAGGGGATGCTTTGTATATGTGTGTATCTCTGCCAGTGTGTGTGTGTGAGAAAGACAAACTCCACATGAAAGCTTCTCAGAGTCCCCGTACAGCGCTCAGATGGGGCTGATTAAAAACCTAAAGCCTTGGTTTTTCATCCACATTTAAGGCTCCACATAAAAATCAGATACAGTGCACACACACACACACACACACACATTCATGTGCACATAACACACGCACGCACGTGTTTCCAGCCTCATTATCCGCCTCTGATTTCTCTGTTTTGCTTCTATCTTCTTATTCCTCTCTCCCTCTCTCTCAAAGTGAGTGACTGAAGGTGATTCTTCCTGATACGGTGGAAGTGAACAGAAACAACATTTGAGACTCCCCCATCACTTTACGCCACGTTGTCCTCTCTAATTCTATACATCGCGCACACACACACACACTCGGGAGTTACCCTGCGCTGTACTCACCGTCCAGCACACCTATACATCACTGTTCATCTCTCCTTCTATCTCTCTCTCCTTTTTCTCGGTGTCCCTTTTGCATCCCTCTTCCCCCCACCGCCCTACCCCACACTTCCCCCCTCTCCTCCCTCAATCATTCAGTGTTTCATGTCTATTTATTTTCCTCCTTTTCTCTCTCATTTCTCATCTTTCACAGCCTCGTTTTCTCTCACGCACAACCAATCTCCTGACTTTTCCCTGTCCTCTCTCTTCCTCCCTCTCTCTTCTTCAAATTCCCACAGCACACAGGGCTTAGCTACTTCTCAATAAGTGTAACAACATCTAGCCTCCTGTTCTCTAGATTCCCCCCCCCCTCCTCCTCCTTCCTCCCTGCCTCTCTCTCTCTCTCTCTCTCTCTCTCTCCCTCTCTTTCTGTCACTTCTCCCTCTTTCTCCCTCTCTCTCTCGGCGGGCTTCCTACTGGTGCACACTTCTAGTCACAAGACAAAGGATGCTACCTCTGCCTTATCCCTCTGTGTATTATATAAAGCCACCATGCTATCATTAAGCCAGGACAATTTAAAATACCACCTCATGCTATATAAAGATCAGACCGTCTGTAGAGCAAAGGATCCGCTTAATTAGAAAAGAAAAGAAGCAGACAGTAATTTAAAAGAACATCCACTGCATAGTTTATTCTCCGTTTGAGCTGTGATTCATCCATGTCATAGACATCCTGACACACTTACTTTAATTTTTTATTTAAAAAGGCATTTATTGCGAGAGATAAAGCTTAAGGCTAGACTTTCAATCTGTGATCTGAGGGCAAGTGCCGCCAGCGATGTTCAGCATGATGTTGCAAATGAAATTACACTAGCAGCAGTTTCGACTAAATTATAAGATCTGGCCTCAAAACAAAAAACAACATGACGTCAGTATTGCAACTAAAATTTAATTCAGAGTTAAAAAAGTATGAAAAAAGAGGGTCTAATATGGGTGAACTGGAGCGTAGTTTTGAATCTGACAGAAGAAAGAGAATTTAGAGATGCAGAATCGGTTAATTTCCTTCTGAATTTTAGTATTGATGCAGCACAAGGAATGTCATTGACTATAATTTTGAGCATATTTTTTTTAACTTCCTAAGATTAAAGTGTTTCACTAAATTCAGCATTCAGACAGCATCTGATAAAAAAAGAGCCAAACCCTGTGGACTGAAGTCTATCACAGCAGTTCTTTTCAGTGGAGGCTCTTGCTGACCTTGGAAACAACACGACAGGTTGTTACAAACTGCGGTGAAGGAAAATGTCGGGATGAACCACCAAAATAAACTTTGAAAAAAACTTCTCAGACATTTGGCTTTGAGAATTTTTTTCATTTTTGGCATACGTCTCATTTTAGTGATTGATGTGTATAAGTCGATGTCAAGAGTGCAAAATGAGCCAGTTGTAGGGCTGGGCGATATGGCCTCAAATAAATATCACGGTATATTGAGCAGTTCACCTCAATAACGATAAATACGATAACTACTCCACAAGCTGCTCACCCCCTCCCACATTAACCCTCGTCTACTTCAGCCGCTCCAACTTTTGAACCGTCCTCCATCTCCTCACCTGTCTTTCCCTCTTTGTTATGGACTGGATAGGGTGGAGTCACATCTGGGACCATAGCCTACCTACACAAAACCAACTTTTATTTATTTATTTATTTTGACACCAAATATATTGACGTCCGCAAAATGACGCTGGTTATTGTTGTAAATTTCGGCGTTGGTAAATTTTCGGTTTATCGCCCTAGACAGTAGCTAATTCTGATAGCCATGTTTTAGGTTTTTGGTCTTGTTTTTGATTCTGAACTCTTGCTTCTGGACCAGTGATCCATAAAAGATTATCTTTCTAAAAACATAAGTGAATGTTGTTCTAGTTCGTCTTTTGGATTTATCTGCATTTACAGATTTCAGCCCTGAAGAGGTGACTCACATGAATCATACTGCCAGTTACAAAAGCACCTTTTAAAAGAAGACGATTAGCCTGATAGTGAGAAAAGGAAATTATCAGAACTTAAGGCTTAAATGTGGGACCTTTCTTCTGCTTATGTCAGTGAGAAACCTGTCATTTTTAATCAACGGTGCTGAGCTGTGTCAGATGATTGTTTATTTGTGGTGCTGTGCTTCATTTCAGAGTACTATTGTACAATGTGAGCCTTCAGCTACTGGCACTGGAAACACCAGAGTGCAAATTAAGTGTGATCTGGATTTGATTAATGCTTTCTTTTTTACAAAAAGAAGCTGTAACTGGCTTTGATGTCCCAAAGGTTCAGAGCTTGGTAGCTTTATTCAATATCTGTCAATAACTGCCTGTAGAGGAATTATTACATTACTTGTGTGTGTGTGTGTGTGTGTGTGTGTGTCTATTAGGGCTGCAGCTATTGGATATTTTAGTAATCGAGTATTCTACTGGAAATTCTATCAGTTAATGGAGTAATCGGATAATTATTACTTTTGTTTAGTTGTAGAGAAATCATAATTGACAGAAATCAAGACCTCTGCAGGGCTAATGTCATGTCAGCAAGATACATTTGCGTTCATCGGATTAATTTTCGCTACGTCAACTAGGGGTGACCGGGTTGGTGCTTGTAATTGGTTTGAGTAATGTATGTGCGGAGACAGGGGTTGCAATGCAAAGGTGAGTGCCTGTTGCTGTGTGAATTTGTGGAGGGTACTGAATTAAATTATAGATTTAGTCTAGCACAACAAATTCCAGGATGATTTAAAAAATCTGCCTGGAAACATTTTACGGTCTACAAAAGAGGAAATATCTGGGGAAAATAAAACGTCTGGTGGTCACCCTGTACGTTACTTTAATTTTACCTTGTCTCGGATCCCCCACTCTTGGAGTAAACCGGGTGCCTTGGGTGGAGATGCTGCAGAGTTGAAGTTGTACTGTCACAGTATGCATGGACAGTCTTACAGTGAATACATGTAACAGTGTTCGCCTTGATATCCATCTTAAAATGCTCCCACACTTTATCTTATTCTTCACTTTTATCGTCTTCTTTGTCTTTCCTCCATTCCTGCTAAAATCAAACACATCCACCCCCTCCTCCTTCTTCCTTCTTTGATTGTGTGACGTCAGCACTATGTGCCACATTAAAAGTCAACTGAGCGAAATACCGTGCTGTGAGCTGTAAGAATTAAATGATTACTCTCGGTGGAGGGATTTTTTTTGTCACCAGGAGTGTAAACCTTACATGAGACTGAAACAAAGAGCTGATCAGCTTGCAATTGTTAAATGATGCAACGTAACAGACATGTGTTAAATGGAGGCCAGGGTATCATTGGCCATGCTTTCCCACCTTTCAGCACAGTCAATAAAGCTTTAACAAGCTGCCAGTAAACTATAGATCTGTTAGTGATAGTTAAATGGTAAAAAAAATAAAAAAAACCCTTGGTAACACTTAACTTGACACCTATCTCTATAACACATTATAAATATATGTATAATGCGTTATAATCACGTTATAGCACTGTATAACTATAGTTATAAACACTCATAAATGATCATAATGCTTTATAACAATAATCATAACACATTATAAAGCATTTTATCATGACTTACAAGGTCAGGTATTATAATGTGTTATGCTTATTATTACAAAGCCTTATGATAATTAATGAGTGTTTATAATGATAGTTATACAAGTTTATGACCAACTATAACACATTATAAATATATGTATATTGCATTATCTATAAGGGCATTGTCAGTGAGTTGTTAACAGTTATAACTCATTATAATACCTGACATTGTAACTCATGATAAAATGCTTTATAATGTGTTATGATTATTGCTATAAAGCATTAGAGCCATTTATGAGTGTTTATTACTATAGTTATACAGTGCTATAACGTGACTATAATGCATTATACATATATTTATAATGTGTTATAGAGATAGACGTCAAGTAAAGTGTTACCAAAAACTCATTTTAGTTATCTTGAGTCAGAGGAAACACAAACACAGGTAATGTGCAATACTGCTGTAAGTTCTTAGATATTTTTGTTCATCCATCACACTTCTAAATGATGTCTCAATATCGAGCAATGTTAATGCACATCTCTTTTTTTTTTTATATTGCACTGGCCTGAAGTCAGATTTGCAAGTAAAAGCCTGAACCGAGTGAAGTAAAATAGGGAATGAGTTTTATTTTGGAAACAAGTGTTGTATGTATTATTTTTGCTACAGATAGAGAAGAAAGAAAACTTTGTACCCAAGTCACCTTTTTTCTAAAATGTTGATGTCTTCAATATATGTTGATTACTGTAATCAGTGTCGTTAGTAAGTCGCAGGTTTTGGTTATCTACTCTATTGAGCGACATGACAATTATTCGAAGTCCAACTAATCGAACCCGAAGCTGGAGGAGGATAACTGAATATGTTTTGTAACATTTACTGCTGCTTAGATAGTAACCTGAGGTTTAGTGTTGGCTTTGGAGGTTTCATTTTGAAGGGAAATCAATTACTGAATGGCTGAAAAAGAGCTGCATAATTGATTATTAAACAGTCATTGCAGCCTGATGAAGCTTAATGGTTATAGATTATCAGGAAAAGCTATCTGTTATTTCAGTAAAAAAAAAAAAAAGAAAAACATCAGTTAAAGTTTTAATGCTGATACATTTAAGATAAGATGTAAATCAAATATCAAATACATTATAGCTTTATTTTTCCTTTTTCATGGTCTTCATAATACAGAAAAATCTATCCGTGTGTTTCAGTCAGAACTATTTTCTTGTTTAGTAAATATTATGTAATTGCCCTCATGACTGACTAGTTGAATTAAATTCAGCTGTAAATGGATTCAGGTCAGGTTCTTTGGGATCAGCAGCTCAAATCAGGAGCGATCAGCTTCTGGCGTTGCCGGCAGTCAGGTAAGTGTGGGATGGTGGTTTAGTTTTAAAGGGAGACACTTTTTTTCTCTCTCGATCTAAACTTGAATTGCTGAGCACACTGATGAGCATTCAACATTAGTATTACTGATGTAGTAATATATGGATTTACATGTGAAAACAGTGTAAAGGTTTAAGACTTAAAATGATCAAAAATCATTGAAAGACACACAACTGAGTTCATCTTCCTATTTAAATCCATTGTGTGTGTAAGTGTGTGTGAGAGTGTGTGTGTGTGTGTGTGTGTGTGTGTGTGTGTGTGTGTGTGTATCCCTGTGAGATCTCTGGGAGGCAGGCCAAGTGTCTCTGGCTAAGCCATCTCCACTTGCAGTGTGTGTGTGTGCGCGTGTGTGTGTCTGTGTGTGTCTGTCTGTTCAGCCAGACACACACAAGACAGATAGAAGCACCAGTCTGCTCAGCCCTCCAGTTGCACCAATGTAATCAGACCTCAGCAGCCATAAAGCACCGGCTATGGACATTCTGCCTGGCATGCTGTCACACGCACGCACGCACACACACACACCCTGAAAAGTCCTACGTACGCAGATACAGGAACAAATTCCAATGTAGAGTCATGCAGCAGGATGAATTTTCTTGCCACACATACGCAAATGCAATAAATAGCGCTGTTACATTGGCTCACACTCATTGGTACACATTGACACGTATATATATATATAGGCACACACATGCATTCAGAAAACACAATCCTGTGGATTCGGAAAAAACACAAAAACATTCCACCGTAGACGCGTGCATGAGGACGGATTTACAAGTCACGCAAGCAGCAAATACACACACGTGAAAAACAGCACTGCTCCATTGGCAAACAGGCATTTCTAGACACTGGCTAACACACTAACCCATAGCTTAGACAGAAGCAGCGAGTGTGTTTTGGTGGTCCTCCATAAGGCCCAGTGCCCAAAGAACTTAGCCCAACGTGTCCTGGTCTGCTGGGGCAGGAAGGATGTCTTCGGGCCCAGAGGGGATCTTCATCATATTGCTCATCCTGCCAACAGCTATCATACGTGTGTGTTTGTGTGTGTGAATCGTGTGTGTGATTCATGCACGCTTGTGTCTTTATCTCCCTCTCTCCCTGCTATCACTCTTTTAGCACCTCCATCAGTATCTGTTTTCGCCCCTTCACCAGCGCCTGCGTCTTGGGCCATTTTGTGTCTGTTTGTCTTTTTGTTATCTTTTGTTCGCCTCCTCTACACAGTAACACTCCACATCCCCCTCTGTTCTCCTCTCTCTCTCTCTTTTCCTCTTTCTCTCCAGCTTTGTGGTGTGAACGATGGTGGATGACTGTGCTTTAGGAGATTTACTGCTGGATCCCATCTCTGTCAGGTGTCGAGACTAAAGCACGGGAAAAATACAGAGCGATGAAGGGAGAGAGGGAGAGACAGAGCGCGAGAGAGAGAGAGAGGGGGAGCAGCAGATGGAAGATAGAGCGGTACACAGGGAGATGAGGAAGAGGGAGAGGGAATGGAATCAGAGGATGAGGGTGAAGAAAGGGATGAGAAAGAGAGGGGCTTATGCGGGTAGAACAGAAGAAGAGAAATGTGAACAGATTGTAGAAGAGAAAGAGGCTACACTCTGTTTTTTAAAACAGTCTCTGAATATAGTTTGACAGAACAAGCCTCCTCCTCTGCTTTATACCTTAGCAGAAACACACAAAAACACACAGTCAGACACTTACAAACACAAGCAAATGAGTTCATGCTGTCAGTTTCAGGTCCATCAAACTTAACGGGAGCCAATTTGTATTCCTCGGTAAATGTAAAGATTCGCCCGTTTTGATCTAAAGCGAACTCTTGATGTGGACTCTTTGGGAGGGGTTAAAGTTTTGGCCAAAGGGTCACTGTGAGTGCGTTTAACCCGCTAATAAACCGTTCACACACTTTAATGACCCCCCAGAGGAAACAGACTTCTACGCCTTCAAAGGCCAGGCCGTCTCCCTCACTGCGAAGCTGATCATATACAGCTCACTGCGCCTGTGAGGTCCGTACATTTATTAATGCAGTTATTTTCTTTGACACTAAAATGATTACCTCCCAGGACTTACAGGGTGAATTCATGTGGAGGAGGCCGTTTATTTGATCAGTCAACAATCATGTGAATTAGAGTCAGCTTACTATTTAAGTTGTTTCTCCACTGATTCATGACAATTCAAAATAAAATACAGTGTTTTTCAGGCCATAAGGCGCACTATGAATTCACGCGTCTATGTTCACATGTAAGGCGCACTGGATTGTAAGGCGCATTATGCAAAACAACGAAATCTGGTAAATCAAACTTTATTTAACTCAGTTGTAACAACAAATACCGGTACAGAAAAATACGCTCAGTTATTGATTCATTCATTTTCCACAAATCCATCGAATTCTTCATCTTCAGTGTCTGAGTTAAACAGCTGTGCGATCTGGGCATCAAGCATGTCCGGGTCCCTCTCGTCGTTATCCGAGTCAGTCTCATTGCTGTTACCGGTACTTGGCTGTTCAGTGATGATTCAAGCTTTCGTGAAAGCTCAGACGGCAGTTACCGTAATGCTCCGAATATCTACTGAGCGGAGCAGCTTAATTGCTCACCGAAGTCGTTCTTATGTGAACCACATAAAATCAGTCAGTAAGCATAACACGTAATCATACCTAAGGTGTGCTGGATTATAAGGCGCACTGTCAATTTTTTAGAAAATTTAAGGATTTTAAGTGTGCCTGATAGTCCGAAAAATACGGTACTGTTTTTTATTAAAAAGTGTGGGCATGATCTTTTTACAAGTATGTCAGTTTGTGGATAATATTGCATGACCAAAAAGTGATGGTCTGTTTTCATCACCAGTGACTTTCTTTTTTTTTTTTTTTACACAAAAGTAACGGAGCAGAAATTTATGATGGTGAGTTAATTTAAAATTACAATCCTAGCAAGGTGAGCAAGGACAGGATCCCCTATCAGGGATGGTGGCTCCTCAGGCCTCTCAAACATCACAGCCCAGTAACTGTCATTATCATCAAGTCCAGCCTGAGACGGCGACTAGTTTCTTTCCACAATGTTTACTAATCAGCATCACAGGAACTTCCTGTCCTTTTCTGCACAGCCATGTAATAAATAGTTATAATCTACAATCTAAACCAGTCCGATGAAACCCGCTGTGCAAACCCTTTCTCTTGTTTTACCTACAAATTTGATGTGCATGGATCTATATTAGATGCTATCAAGAAGTAGCTCATAAAGCGCCACTGCTCCTCACACTTGAAGACAAAAATAGCACTGCATCAAAGCACCACAAGGGGCTGCACTGATGTGGGCGTGTGGCTACAGGTACCGGCGAGGAGATGAGATATAAAACCAGGAAGTCCAGACTGAAGCGTTATCATAGAACAAAACACAGCACTGCAGTTTATACCCCTTTGAGGGAGGATTTTACAACTCTGATCACATCAGCAGTATTCCGCTCCTTAGTCTAGATGCATCTGAGGGTTTCAGTAGCATTAGCATGTTGCTGCGTAGCACAGCGAGAGGCTATAGATTCACAGGAGAACAATGAAACACTGTAAACACCAGAACAGTTAACAACATGCAGTATATAAAGCAGATGATGATGTAAGTGTCTGCTCCTCTGCTAATGTTTGTCTTCTGCAAAGTGATGTTTTGTTAAAAAATGTAGCCCTGTGATCACACCAGGATATAGTGATTGTCAGGTCTGTACTCTAGTGATCCACTTCACACTATATTAATCTGTAAATGACAGCAGTGCTGCCAGCACTGTCAGAACAATCTGGACACCTCATGTCATCAAAACATAGCTCCTATTCAGAACACCCCAGCTTACAGTTCTCGCAATTTTACATAAAAGAGGAGAAGGATGGTAAACAACTATTCAAGTCAAGCGTGTGCAATAAAGAGATGATTCCTCAAACACATAAACAAGTAAGAAAAACTTCTGCATTTAAAACCAGCTTCACAAAGTCGACATTAAAGATGGAGTTCCTTCAAAGTTACATGAACTAATCTGCTGCTCTTTGATTTAGGGACTTTTTATGTGTGATAGCTTCTACATCCAGATGTTGTTTTTACCACACGTCTTTTTAAGAAGATAAATCACTTTCAGAGCATCCAACTTTTTTTTCCTTGAAATGTACTATTCTAGTTGTCTGTTTAAAATTCATTTTTTTGCAGTCTTTCTGTTAGTTTTGCTTTTTGTTCTAATGAAGAAATTCTGCTTTCAGATGTTCTGGTGGTTTTTTGGTCTTGAATAGAGAAAAGGTCAATTGATTCATAGAGCAAGATTTTTAAAAAAGTGACTCAAATAGTTAAAATAGCAAGAGACTGACTGAGGCATCAAAAGGAAAATAACACAGAAATTACTTTTTAGAATAGTGGACCAAATATTTTTACTAAATAATTATGTTTCACTTGAGAAAATCTACCAGAATTGCTAAAAACTGAGCAAAAAACAGGAACTTCCATTGGAAAATGTTAACAAAGATAATACTGTGTGTACAGAGTAGACTGTCAATAAAGATACTTCTCACATAGTACGAAAGTGATGCCAAATTACTACAAGTTTTGACATTTTTCTGTTTTCAAGCAATAGGATTTTAGAGAGCTTGGATATTAATGTTTTTAAATTCAAAAGACAGTGGCTAAAATGCTTCAGATCATCACAGCTTACAGAGTCTAGTTGAAACATACAAAAAGTTGTAAAAAGTTTGCGGCCTATGCAAGTGTTTTTTTTACATTTTGTCTGCCGACATCTTCTCTTCTTTGCTAATCAGGTGCACACAGCGCCACAAGAGGCCACCATGGCTAGTTTAAGTATTGTTTAAAAAAATACACAAGTTATGCATGAGATTGTTTCTGCATCTAAAAATCAAAATCATCTCGTCTTTATATACAGTCTATAATCATGACAGACTTTTTCCTTTATCTGAATCCTTTTAATATTTTATTATTCTGAAAAAAGTGACCTTTAGTTAGGGCTGGGCGATAAAACGGTAACAATAACTTCCCTTATTATTGATACGAAACATGGTCAATATGCTTGGTAGACTATATGACTAGCCAATGAAAAGGGGAGTTGCTTCGGGTCTTCACTGCGCTGAACCGACCATTCAGTTCTCTTTCTCTAGCGTAAAGACGAAAAGACCTCACAGATGCAGTAGCTTATTGTATTGCAAAAGACATGCTACCAATAAGCACTGTTAAATTTCATTTTTTTATATCGTGATATATATCGATATCTACTGATATTAAAAAATATGTATCGTGATAAACTTATTTCCATATCGCCCAGCCCTACCTTTACTGTGATCACAAAATCACACATTTGTTGTCTTACTAAGAGCTCAAAAATGAAGTTTACCTCTGTTGTGAATGTATCTGCATGCTCAAATGAGTACATTATGCACCGTGAAGTAAACTAAAAAATCAAAGTAGGGAGATGTATTGGGAGGGAGAGCGGAACCAGAAATGGTTGGGAGCACCCATCTGTCAAAGAAAAAAGAGATGAGATGAGCTGAAAGACAGATAGAGTGGTCTAAAGAGAGGAAAAAAAAGAAAATCAGACATGGGGGTATGACCGGGGGTCTGACAAACTGCAAACAGCATGTGAATGTACAGACACAGGCTGTGAGACAGACAAAAAAGGAGGGAATCAACAGAGCAGAGAGAGGAAACAGAGAAGAGACAGAGACAGGAAGAGAGAGTGAGAGACAGGCAGCCTGAGAGAGTGACAGAGTGCTGTCCTGAGAGAGAGAGTGTGTGTGGGTGAGTGTGAGAGCAGTGCAAGCTAACTCGTCTGTCAATCTCGATCTGTGATTGACACCCCGGGGTCCAGTGCTCCTCTCATAGCCCGTCGGCTCTTCCTGTCAGGATGTAGGGCATAGGGTCACGCACATACACACACATGCGAACGCATAAAGAGAAGGTTACATGCCTTTAAGAGCGAGCTCTGTGATGGACACACACTCGCATCAGAGAAAAAATGGTATCATTGTAAAACTTGCATATGTGTGTCTCTTTGGGTCGACACGCACACACATGCACACAAACTACCAGCAGAGACGCACACACAAAGACGAGGTCCATTAAAGGTGAGGTCTCCCGAGTGGTCCACTCTTGCTGACTGGGCCTTAACCTTTGACATATGACCTTTAACCTTTGTGCAGTCAGCAATACATCTTTTCCCAGGACCCATCATTCATATAAGCCTGTATTTATATGTATGTGTGTGTGTGTGTGTGTGTGAGCGTGCTTTTCCATGTGTGGGTATCTTTTTTTATGTTTAAACACTCCATCCAGTTTTTAATTTACCGACCCGCTCTTGTTTTCTGCTTCCCCCTCTCTCTCTTTCAGACACACAGGCAGTATATTAAACAAGTGAGCGCATGGAATTGGAAAAAAAAGATACACATTTTAATATTTACACAAATAAACACACACAAACAGGCAGATGAGTCTGCTCTGAAAGGGCAGGATGAACAGTTATGTGTCCTCTACATTGTGTGTGACAGTTATTGTTACCTCCTGGCAGAAACAGTGGGTATATGTTTCTGTGTGTTTGGCTGAAAAATGAGCATATTCAGAAATGCACTTGTATTTTATTCAAGCTATACAAGGCAGGGACTTGTGTGTTTTTATACATACTTTTTTTTTGGTTATATGCCAACTCAAGTTCCAGTTTTGAGGCATTTCTGGAGATAACAATCAGACCGAGATCAGTCAGTTTCATGCAGGTTGATCAGCTGTGATGTCATGCAGTGAAGGCATGAAGCATATACACACAGTTTTCCAAATGGCATTTCTTTCTCAAATGAACATTTCTCTTTTTAATCACTAAAATAACACAAAATAGTACAGTCTGTGACCAGGCAGGGAGGCAATCATAGTATAGGATTATGAGGTGATACTCACAGTGGCTGCTCCCCAGAGACTCCCCCTATCTCTTGAGGCAGCCTTTGATTTTATTGTGTTTGTATCTTCATAAACATGTCTTCTCAGACTTAAATCTTGAGCAAAAAAGCAGAGCAACTTAACTCTGTAAACATAGACACTAATGTCCAAACGCATTAACATACAGGCAAAGATAATGGCTCGACTTCATTCTGACATTGCAGTTTATTATCATATCATTTGCTGTGTCCTTGCAGCTAACTGTAAATGACATTTCCCTTTGTTACTGTGTATGTCATTCTCACAGTGGGAAAGTCGAGTGAAAACTATCTTTAATGCATGCATATAGAGTTAAAACCAATCCACAAAAGAAGATATCAAACTATAGTGAAAATGGGTGTGTATAATGAGGGGTATTTGCATATTATACTGTTGAGATTGTGAAAAACATAGTCATGTGTGTGCACACGGTTACTTTTAGAAATCCTTTAGATTCATTTGAATTAGAGCCAAAGCATAAGGGGCTTTCTATGACACTATGTTTTTCATATGTATTTAAAGTCCCACTCAGATCCTTTTTGTTTCACCACTTAAAGTGTTCTCAGTGGATTTTAAATTGTGATGATGAAGTTTTTAGCCAAAATCACGTTACCTGTGTCATTTTCAAGGACTTTTCTTCTGCAGAGCTCCTGTAGATCATTAGCAATTTGCCTCTGAGTCGTGGGCGGAGACAGCGCTGCTCTGCACACTCCTCTTCACGCTAGCTTGCAGCCTAACATTGTCGTTGTAGTAGAAGTAACATCGGAGCTATTCAGCTCTCGAACACTGATGTCTTTGGGGATATGATGAAAGTTAAAATCATCATTAGCTTTCTCACGAGCACTGCAATTCGCTAACGCACTTACTTGTTCCATGATCGTCCTCTCTATTTCTCCTCTATATGCAGAGTGTAGCCTGCATTAACGGGACTCTGGGGGCGGAGCTTGAATTTGCTACGTAGGAAATCTCACTTTTTCTGAACCTGTCATTTGGGTCTGCCAGAGATTCTCAGAAATTTGAATGAAGAAATACTCAGAAATACAGTTTTGCATTTAGTTTCCTCATGATTTGTCCTGTAGCATCAGAAAAAATGATTTTTATTGGAGTGGGTCTTTAAGATATGTCAGGAGAAAAAGAAGCATTCAGGTATAAATATCATTCTTTAAAACTGCAGTGAAAATAAAGCCTATGACAATTTGAGGATACATCTCAGAGATGTATGAGGACAGATGATTTCTTTAATCAAATATCCAGCGAACTAGACTCATCAATTTCAGGATGTTGAAACATGAGCATTGTAGTGGAGGCCAATTTTAGCTTCGCTGTCTTATTTTCAAAGTAGTGTTACGTTGGCATGTAAGTCAGAAAAGGTTTTTTCTGACACTGTCAGCTGTTTGATGGCATGGTCAAGCTGAAGGGCAAAGCTATTTCTATGTGTAAGGTTTCATACTTAGGTACCTGTACATACAATTTTTTAACACTGAGAAGGAAAAGAGTGAAAAGAATATGCAGCTGGTAAGAAGCATGCAAAGACTGCCATTATGTTTGACTTTAAGAGGTTTTGTTAGATTTTTAGTTTTGAGAGCAATCAGCAAAGACATAAGGGCCACCACTTTGTCCTCAGGGGGCTTCACAATCAACGCAAACTAGAAGTTCTTCCCAGGAGCTTTAAAAACACAATTAAAGATTTGTTTTTATGTTTTCTGTTGTTTTGTTTTTACAGAATAAAAACTTCTACATACAATATTTTTAATGACAGAGACGAGGTTTTGATGGTTTCATTAATCCAAGATCATGAACAGTAACCACTCAACTAATCATTCATAGATAAATAAATAAAAATATATATAAAAATGAAAAAAAATCAAATGCAGCTGCGATGACAGTTTTGAAATGACAGAAATGGCACATTTTTCTAATCAGTCTTGCTTAACACCTGCATGAACAGTGGTGTGAAGATGACTGATCTGTAGCAAACGGCGTTCATTAATGGAAATAGAAAAGATGCACTGATACATGTTGTAACTGTGTCGTGTTTTTTCTTTCTTTTAAAATATCTCATGCAGGGTTTTTCCTGGCTCAAATTGAGGCAGAGGTGGCACCATCCTGACCATGCGCCATGACGTGCATGTATTTGTAAATTCAACTGACTCACTTTCTTTTACAGGCAACATAGTTTAAGTTAAGAGTTCAAAAAAGAGTGTGACCATTATCATGTTAAAGCATTCATTTATTAAAACTATATACATACACAAATCAGCTGGCAACTTTAAATTGAAAGTACACTTCATCCACACATCTCACAACCAGACAGAACATTTCAGCCTCCTCTTTTTCATTCTGTAGAACCTCCTCATGCACTCCTTGTAGTCCAAGGCCTCCTGGTCTGGTTCATCAACGGCCACCTTACAACAGACATCCAAGTGCCTCTCCTTCAGTCTGTTCCACAGAGGTGTCTTCACCTTAAACAAAACAATTCATCATGCATGAAGTATTTTTGTTTTTTATTCTGATACAGACTATCACAAAGAGTGATAGTGTTTTCAATTATATATATGTATACGCTGCAGTGTCCTCCCTAAAAAAAACGACAACCAATTATTTCTTAAACTATCTAAACTATGTTATTTTAGTTTTTGTAACTTTATTAGTTGAGTGTTTTTAGGTACTACCATCTTTAATATACTTCTCCTTCTCTTCTGCTGCTTTGTGAACGGCTGTCACCTCATGTCTTTTTAATGTGTCCAGCCTGTAGTTGGTTGATGGCTGTCTCACTAAGGAGGCAGCAATTGCCTGCTGTGTTGGGGCACAGTGCTTTTGGCATCAATAGCAGTGCATGCCTTCCTCAGTATGCCTGAGCCAGGTAAACTGATTGAGCCATTGCTTGTCAAAGCCACTGGCTCTGTGTTTTTGAGAAGATCTGGAAAGAGGAATAAAAACCACGTACACGTTGGCTTTGCGTTGTTATGCTCCTAATTGGAGACTAATTAATTAATTACCCTCGCCTCGCCGACTCGTCCTGTCCTGCATTCTGACCCTCGCGATCACCAGTCCTTTGTGAAGTACTTTCAGACCTGACACAAATTTCCACGTTGTCACCACTATGAATTATAGCATTTTAACTGCCTGTTACGTTTTTTTCTCTGCTGTGTTTCACCTGGACTCTTGACTTTCCTCCTCGCGAGGTCGCTTTTTAAAGTACTGGCTGATTTGTCATATCTGCAACGCTAAAAAACGGAGGAAACTTTTTTTTTAAATAAACACGTCATGCTTGGATGCAAAAAAGACAAGCAGTATTTACCTGTTTGTGTCCAGCCGCCAGGGAAAATCAGGACGCCGATAGCACCAACTAGCGGGAAAAAAAACTTGATTCGATCCGTTTCTTCTTCGGTAGATGCTTCAGGTCTTTCCGGTGCACTGCTGTTGATATAGCGCCTCTATAGTGGCGCAACGCTGCAACTGCAGTTAAAATACGTTGCTGCTGCAGAGGGACATCATACGCTCAATCAACACAGCTGGAGCTTTACGCTGTGTTGAGCGAAATCAATCGCTCTGGCTGGGGGCGGCACAAAATTAGGTGGAGGCGGCCGCCACGCAATTTTGAACGCAGGAAAAACCCTGTCATGTACAAGCACATACTCACTAATTAGAGGAAGTGTCCATCTGGCAGCCTCTATGTGTGTGTTTAAGTGTATATATGTGTGTTTGCCAGTGCGTGCGCACCAGTAGGGGTTTGTGACTAATGGGGTCATTATTGATGCTGAGTCAGGATTACTGCTGATTGCAATGGCTGGATACCAACCTAACGAGTATACAAGAAACACACACACACTGTCTTCCCCGTCTCCCCCTCTCCTTCCCCTCTCTCACACACACACACACACACACACAGTTTTTCATTTCTCCATGCTCTCATAGGTGCACTTATGCACATAAACCTCCAACCTCAGCTAATAAACTTACTCACCCAGGCTTACCTTCCTCAACCTCTCAAGGCTTGCTTTGCTTTCCCTCTCATACACATGTCGACACACATTCTAACACACTTACTGTAGACATCATAAGCTCTAAATACAGTGAGACAGGAGGCAGGAGTTGTGTCGAGTGACCAGTGACTCCCTTATTTTTATCAGTGCCATTAGTAATCCCCTCATGTGTTTGACAGCTGACCTTCAGCAGGTAACATAGAAATGACTCTGGATGAAAAATTCAGAGATCTCTTTAATAGTGTGTATAAAAGATGAGACATACTGAAATGTGAATGAATGCCATAGAAAGAATAACGCTTGTGCTGGGGCTCATTGTTGTTTACGTGACCTGAGTGTAGCATCTCCATCTTTTTCTGCCTTACTGAACATTTATGTCAATAAATAACACTTAAAAAAAAAAAATAAATAAAATTCTATTATTCTGAGACAAATTTTTCTTTAACACTTTTTCATGTCAGCTTTATAATGCCATGCCAACTAGGGGTGTTCCCACAAGGGTACGTTACGATTCGATTTTGATGATGGGAGCTTGGAGTCTTTGATTAGAATAATTGTCGATTTGATTCGATTATTGGTATCAGGATTCTTCCATTATTGCCATTTTTAATGCTTTATTCCATACAAGCTTGATTTTGTCTTCATCTGTGGCGACATTTGTAAATAAATAGCCTATCAATTAACTCAGTATTTTGCAAAGAAACTAACGTGCTCTGTTTGTTGTGGTCCCACTCACTAAACAGTCCAGGCGGCGCGCGTGTTGAGGTTCCAGTTACGTGCTTTTTTGTTCCGGCCTTGTGCCAAAGTATCAACGTTATTATTTATTTATTTATTTTAAGCATCGACGCTAATTACTCGATGCAGAATCATCACGTGAAGCATCACGATGCGTCGACACATCAATGAATTGCCCAGGCTCCTCTAACACCAAACCTGAGGGCGCAAAGCATTAATGAAACTGATATTTGCAAGTATCATGTAACAGTCTGATGTTTCCAGAGCGAAAGAGAGGATGAAATCTAGAGAGAATGGGACAGGAATGAACATCAGTGCAGATGTGTTTTGGTTAGAAGTAGAGACATCCTTACCTGCAGCAGAAAACACCCAAGAACAAAGAGTCTGAGGTGGTATGATAATTAGGGTGGGAGGGTTGGGCAATAATTATAGTTCACGATGTATCGTCAGAAAAATCCTTCATGATAAATATTTGCCATCTCATGATAAACACGTTAAATGCAAGTTAACGACGTAAGTGCGAGCGATGGACTCGCAGCTGTAGCCCACACAGATCAGAATAACAAACAAATATGGCCGAAGGTGGTGAAGGAAACGTTTCTGAGCAGCTTGTTACTGACCAAAGCTACCACTCAAACTCGTGGTGAAGTTTCTTATTTCACTACTCCAACTGGTGTTTTCAAGACAGAATGAGTCAAAAATATAGATTAAAATTATAGTATTTTTTTATCTGGACTTTTTATTGTTATCGCCAAAATTATAAATCTTATCATGATAAATTCTCTTAGCCCATATCGCCCATCTCTAGGTGGCAGCCGCCGACTTTTCTGTGCAGGAATAAACCTTGCCAGTGAACACTTTCTCTGTGTTCAAATTTGATTGAAAACCTGGTAAAACATAATCAGGACCTAATCTAAAACTGCTTTTGACTAGTCAAAACAAAGTTATGGCATCAATATGTCTGACAGCACAACGTTTTTGGTATTTTTTTGTCATATGAGAGGGTTAAAGAGGATGGAGACAGTTGTTGTGAGAGAATTTCTCCATCGTAAGTTGAACCCTGCCTTTTCAAAGATGTGATTCCTCCACATTTTATTTCCCCTTTAAAAGGATAAATGTGGCGTTATATGGTCTGTGGGAAGTTAACAAGAAGGTTCATAGATGTAGTAAAAAGGAGCAGTTTTCAGCGTTCCCCAGACAAGAAGCATAAAGAAGACCAGGTGCTAGCGTATCAGTGTGTGTGTGTGTGTGTGCGTGTGTGTGTGTACAGTAGCTCGTGTGTTTGTGTTCGTCTGTCCTCTCAAACACTAAATGTCAGTGTCGTGATCTCCCTGCCTCTGCGTCATTAATAAACAAACAATCACATCGAGATCAATCCCAACACGCAATTACAGCAATTACACATTTACTTCAGTGTTTTTGCACAAACACACACACACACACAGACAATAAGTGTTGGACGTCCTCTTTAGGAGGGCGACTTCCTCCCCATGGTCTCTCCACAGCACATTTTTCAACCCCTCGCTGATGCAGAATTTATGTGTGGTTCAATACACTGTAAGAGTGGACCAAGTTATTGACGTATGGAATAATGTCAGGAGTTTTTCAACATGTGAGTGTTTACAATTATGAGATGATCAATACGTGTTTACGCAGCCGTATATGTGTGTGTTTGTGCTCTTAAGGACTTGAACTGGTACACACTGAGGATGTTTATTCTCAATAACAACTCTGCAACATAGCCTCGGGTTTTAATCAAAGTATGAGTGGCATGCAGCATGTATGTGTGTGTGTCTCTGAGCCTGTGTGTCTTCCCAGCTGTATGTGTGATATGACAATGTTCATCGTTCCTGAAAGCCACCACAGTTTCTAAATCAAGTCTTTTATGAGGTTCTGCCGCTCTGGGCAGACCATTAACATTTCATGTCACCCTGCTTCGCTCTCTCTGTCTAACTCCTTTGGGCATTAAACAGAAATTCCCTTTTGAATAATCCTTGCTGCAGTCTGCAAAAGAAAACCAGTGACTCTGCTTTGCTTGTAAAATTCTTGGAGGTTTTTTTTTTTGTGCTTTTGTGTATAAAAAATGTAGAAAAACAGCTTTTAACCTTAACCCTCAGCTCAACCTCTCCAAAAAGTCTTTGCGTTTTTTGTTTAAATGTGCACTTGGACAAAGCAGTTTCCCAGTGCTGATGGAAGAACCAATTTTTAAAAATCAGAGTACAGCCGTAGGGGGAAATTTCTCTCTTAAGTTTCATCACTTTGCAAGACTTTATTGTCTCTTTCTCTCACTCTGTCCTCTCTCTTTTAACATTCAACACTCACTTGTCAGTTCTGAAGTGCAGCTTGCCTTAAGTATTGGGATTCAGCGTGTAAGCTCATCTCATTATCCCTGTTTGCGAGTGTGTGAGTGTGTCTGGGTGCGCGCGCTTCATGTATGAGTGTATTACCGAGTGTGAGAGCGTGAGTGAGTGATGGGTGTGTAAGCCTCCCTCGCTCGCGCTCTGTTTGAAATAAAGCGACAGATAATCGCAGGGCTCTGGCGAAGCGAGCTCATCTGAGCGCCAATCGATACGGGTGCCATAGCTTCAAAGCAACCCTTCAAAGAGGAGAGAAATAGCCATATGCTCTACGTGCTGCATGTTTGTGCGTGCGAGGGTGTGTGTCTCTGTGTGTAAAAGAGAGAGAGAGAGAGAGAATACTTGTCAGAGGATGGAGATAGAGAGGGAGAACAAAAGGAGGAGGGAGTCAGAGTCAGGGAGTCTCTGTGCAGCGAAAAAAAAAAAACACAAAACTGTTTTCATTTAGTGGCAAACATTATCATATCACAGTTGACACACAAATTGCCACTGATGTTGCTGTTTAAATTGGACAAAATCATTGTTTCGTCAGCTAGTAATCTCCTGATATTACCGTTCTGTCATCTTTTATTCAGCAAACCGGCAGCAGCTGTGGCCTTTGTAGAGAAAATGGGCTGGGAGACACACACACACTCACTTTGTCTCACACAGACAGACTGAGATAAAAACCGGGAGATAATGTAAGTGCGTGTTTGTGAATAAGGCAGAAGAGACTTTCCAATATACTGAGAGACAGTGAGAACTGAGAGCTGTGTAGGACGGGAACGAGAGAATGACAGAGCGAGAAAAGCGAGAGGGAGGTGTGCGCAGAGATGTGGTTATGTGTGAGACGGAAAAAGAGGGAGAGAGATCCCCAAGATGTGCTGTGTTTAGCTGTGCCATCTCACCTTCAGCAAAGTGAAAATGAAAATGTATTTTTGACTCATCGGTGTAAGAAAAAAAAAAGTGTTTTTCTCTGCAAGCGCAAACGTGTAATTGTATAAAGCTCATGTGTTTGTGTTATAAGAAATCGAGGGTCTGTCTGTGTGTGTCAGCATGTCTAATTAGCTCAGACGAGCAGGTGTAAAACAGTAATTAATGACACAACTGACTGACTTCATTATCTCCACATGAGCTTCTCATGCTCGCCGCACAAACACACACACACGCAAAATTACTTTACATTGGCACAACATTACAACACAAGTCCGAAAGTGTGCGCTCATGTCCTTTCATGTGTGTGTGTGTGTTTTGCAAGCTTTACTGATAATATGATAGAGCAACAACAAGTGGAGAAAGTGGACACAGCCCTCACAAACACACACACACACACACACACACACTCACAAACACATCGCTGTTCGGCCACTCAAACACTCATTTAGTTTGCAAATGGACTCATTACTAATGAATCACAAGCTGCTTTAGAGCAGGCTGAGCACACAGTAATGGTTTGGCCATCCTCCAGATTACTGACTCCACAACACACACACACACACAAACACACACACACACACAAACACACACACGCACGCACCCGTTGACAGAGATTGAGAGCGAGTGTCCAGAAGCCCCAATTACGTTCACATCCAATGTGAGAGAACAAGCTAGAAAGCTAATTACAAGTCCCACACATGTAGATGGGAATTGTTTTAGCGCACACACACACACACACACATACACACACACACACACGTATATAAACAGAGATGGCGTTTTCTACTTTGAGCGCCTGATTGTCATCCTTTGTATCAAGCTTGTAATGGTAAACAGGGCTGTGTCATTGTGTTATTACTATAAGTCATTATTAAAGCGGTCTTTATTGAATCATCAATATGATTGTGTAATTGGGTAATTGCAGTTTCAGCCAGATTGATTTACACTTCAGTGCTCTGCCAGGCTTGAATGAGATCAAATAGTATTAGATGCCTCCAAATGCACCATGTAGTCATTCACTAAGTGGAATAAATATGTTTTCTATTTGTCTTTTAAGTACTATCAATCTTTTTTCCTCCTGGTAGTCTGCCAAGAAATAGATATTGCTGATGCTTTCTCTCTCTCTCTCTCTCTCTCTCTCTCTCTCTCTCTGCTGGTTGAGTGAGTGAGTGAGATGGCAGTGATTGGACAGTAATTGGACCTAATGAATATGTCAACAGCCCGTTTCTTTCCCCCTCCATTTAACACGACTGGATTAGATTTACTGTGCTTACTCTAACAACTTAAAGACTCCATCAGTAGGCTACTTTCCACGTACACACACACATCTGCACATGCTCACACACACACACACACACAGAGCGAGAGAGAGAGAGAGATTGGCTTAGCTCAGTAGATCAATGGCCTCTTGGTCAATGTCTCCTTCGGGAGGGTAATCTATCTGCTCCTCACTAATGAAACGCTCTGATCGCTCTGCCGCGTGTGTGCCTGGAGTGTGCGTCTGTGTGTGTCTGGGTTTGAGTATGCACTCATGGGTGTCAGATTGTCTCCTTAATGTATGTATATTGTGTCATCTTGTTTGTTCTTAGTGTAATGACTCTCAACCCTGCTGCACAGAGATACATTAAAGATGTGAATGTGTTTCAAATGTGCTTTTGCCTCTCAAGATGTAGGTACCTTGACTAATTTTGTTTTACAGTGTTAAGTCAAAAATCTTCACCTAGTGTTTGTAAGGTAAAAATGTAGTGGGGAGAAACAGTTGTGTAGCTTGTTGCTTTTGTTTTTATTCAGCAGGTTAACTCGAATATCTTCAGCTTTATTAGATTTAGTTTCATGCTGTATTCCCTCTCTTTGGTTTCTAAAAACGTCTTTTAAAAAAAAGGCCAAATAATAAAAGACGGATGGTCATACATGGCAAGACACAAACTTTTTTTCCTTCAAGGAAGAAAAAGTTTTGAATTATGATTTAAAAAGTCTTTTGATGGTACTGTTCTGTTGGCTGCAGCATCAGTTTAGTGCAGTTCATGGATTCTTGCTCCACATCCTCTTTGATTAGCTTTTTCTCTCAAAAATAAAAGAACCAAAATGTATAGAAGAAAACTTTAGTAAGCAGATAAGATACTCTGATCAATTACTGTCTTATCCACTGTATATAAACTTGCTCTATTTTTGTATTGTTGCTCTTAAAACAGGGTATGCACAGTATTTCTTTTCTCTTTTTGGCTATCTGAAACCCTTAAACCTTTTTTTTTTTGTTAGTTATAAAGACAGATTTAAATTTGTTTCAATGCCGCTTTATGGCATACATACAAAAGCAAATAAGATCACCAACAACAACAAGATAAACAACCTCTTTATTGTAACTTAAAATGCCTTACTATTACGAGGGTGCAGTGGTCAAATGAAAGCTGGATGACATTTTTCTTTATTTTAAAAAAGTCACTTACATCTTATAGCTAAGATGACGCCTCTTTTTAAGGAGCCCTGCGCTCATTTTACAAAATATTACTTAAATTCACCAATCCACTTCACTAAATCTGCATCATTGACTGTGTTGACTTTTCGTCTCACAGGGGACTTTATACCAGGTCTCCTCAGGGAAAGTCCATCCATCTGTGTTGATAAAAGCCTAAAATGTTGTTAATAGATTTACACAGGAGATATTTTAAAGCCACAAAGATGCTAAAGGAGACCTCACACACTTGTGAGGTACTGCAAAGGTCAAGCATTGGTAGTTGATGGTTTCTGATGGTCATAGATACAGCTTAGTCAGCATTCATGTTATTTTTTAAGTTTAAGTGTGGCCACAAAACTGACATTTACATTTGTTACCGTCAAAGAAATGTAAAAAATGCTTGCTTTAAGTCTCATTATTGGATCGGTTTAACAGTCTATTTTTGTATGTTGTTGGAAATAAAAGGTGTTGCTGCTCACAACAATAGAAAGCAGAATAACGAGCCCCTAGCCAAATAGAGAGAACAGTGTCTCACAGTATCATTCTGCTGAAGAGGGACAAAAAGGATGCATTAAAAATAAGTAGGATACAAAAAAGTAGTTCAGACCCTGGCTCTTTCCTCATCTTCACACAGCTGACCAGTCACAGCATGAGCTGAGCGCGATTTAAGAAACTTACAGAAATGGTTGGACAGATCCTCCAATCCTCCCAATATGTCTCAGTTAAGGGAAGGGGGTTTACTGAGCCATTCAACCATCTGATGAGTGCTTCTGATGGCTTCTACTGGCAGCTTAGGGGTGTTTTCATCATCTCTCTCCAAGGCCGGGTGTATTGCAGCCAGGAGAGTGTGGCAGTGTGAAGTACAGTAGGTCAGTGGTTGGCAAAGAAATACAGAAAAGGACATCACCTAACAAAGCAGTATCATGTCCCAATGTACTGCACCGCACTACCAGGGTCTGATAAAGTCTGGACGGGCTGAGGGAAGAGAGGAGAGGGAGATTTTAAATATGCTAGAGCTTCAGTGACTCTATCAGGGCTATATTTGGAACATTTTGATTGTTTATTTAAAGTTCTCTCTCATATTGTCTCTTCAAGGTACAGTGTATAGAATCTAGTGGCAAAATCACCCTGACATAAAATTCATTTGTTTTTGCTAAAATCAAATGAGCCTTTTATATCATCATGGGAGCAGGTTTATTTATACCTATAATAGTACAGAATGCACCAACTAGTATCATATGCGTCCCTAGGGATGGGCGATATAGGCTAAAAAATTTATTACAATAAGTTTTGCCATTATGCCGATAACGATAAAAGTTCCGATAAAATATATTAAGATTCCTATCCATGTTTTCGACTCATTCTGTCTTGAGGACACCAGTTGGCAGAGTCAAATAAGATATTTAACTACGAGTGAAAGTGGTAGGTTATAGAGGAAACTAGTGACAAACAAGTCTGAAATGTGAAAACATTTTCAACATTTAATAAAGACTCTTGTTGCACAGAGAGAACAGATCCTCTGTCCGATGTCAGGCAGACCTGATTGCACTCCTCTAACCCCAACCTTGAAGGAAATCCCTCATGTGGAGCCGCATTTAGCAACAAGCTGCTCAGAGACGTCTTCTACACCACCTGCAGCCATGTTTGTTTGTTATTCTGATCTGTGTGGGCTACAGCTGTGAGTCCGTCACTCGCGCTTACATCATCAACTCGCATTTATCACATTTATCGTGAGATGGCAAATATTTATCATGGAGGAATTTTCTGGCGATAAATCGTGAATGATAATTTATCGCCCATCCCTATGGGTCACAGTTTTTCGTGAGTGGAACAGTTTGTATTTATAAGATGTCTTTGATGTTAAAAATAGACAAGTGTTGGATCAGAGTTTCTATGCACGGTAGCGTCTTGTCTTTGAGGGCCACCGTGGCTTAACCGATGAGAATCTGACCTCTTGATGTCTCTTCATGTCCCTATGTCTGCTCACTGCTTCTGTAAATGAAGATTTAAGGGCAGCCGTTTACTTTTTCATTAAAGATTCATGGAAATTGTATCCTGTGCTGTTGCTATTGCACTTCGAAATCTCTGAAGATCGACAGCTCTTCACAAATCCTCCTGTAAAAGGTCTTGGAAAGTTGTTGCTTTGCAGCTGCACCCTGTGGTTATCTAATTTCAATCTCTCTTTTTTCTCTTTTTTCCCTCTTGTTCCTCCCTCTCTCCCTTCTTTCTACTCCTTCTCTTTGCAGTTTGACGTGTTGGAGTGCTTCCTAAGGTAAGAGAGAGCCTCATTTTCCTGTATTCCTCCTCCTCCTCTACTTTTTTCCCTCTGATTTTCAACCCATAAAACACAGCATGTCGTCCACACTTGGCACAGTGTGTGTATCTGAAACAATCTGTGTCCTCAAAATGTATTTTGCTGGGTATCTTGCACACTGAAACACAATTACCCAGTGTTATCATAACAAAGACACACTCTGGGTTACACTCCTCCTGGTTAAGCCACGATTAGAAAATGCACAGAATTAAAAACCAGCCAACAGGACGCATGTCATCCGTTAGTTTATAATCATTTGGATCAATATTATATGACATAAAGGCTGTAAAAACATCTCTGCAGTCCACAAGCAGTAATAACTTACTCCTACTCCACCACCTACAACTATAACCCTCCTTTTAGTCATAACTGTGTCTGGGAGAAAAAATTAAAAAACTGCCTCATGGTTTAAAAAAAAATAAGGCGGCTGTTGTTGTTTATTTATAGATTACTGGTTTCAGCTTTAGTATATCTCAAACTTATTACTTTCAGACTGGGATGCTCTGTAATATCAGAAGACTCACAATACTTCCAGAAGAAAATTAAATGTGCACTTGTGCCATACAGCTGTGCCTGACCTTGTGGTGGGTCACAGAAGATGTTTTTGTAATATCTGACTGCAGTCTGCACTTTGAGCATGGATAAACCTTGTGGTGTGCATGCACAGCTTTAGCTTTCTATCATTTCAAATATTGCACCTTCAATTTTCTCTTATTTTTTAAATGGTGTTGTGTTTGGCTTGTTAAATAATCCTATCATTCTGCAATGTTTCATCTGTGTTTCGCTTTTTTGTGATTATTTCTTGTCTTTATATTTAAAGGCTCTATGAGGAGTTTTTAAATATTTTTGTAATTATCACGCTTACCCTTAAAACCCACAAGAAGTCTTTGCTCCGCTTTCTTGCAAGTTTCTCCACTGTGGGATGAATAAAAGTACTTAACATGCTGACCACAACAGGATTTACAGCTGTTTACTTTGTTCGTAGTACAACAAAATTACTGAATACATATTTTTAAAGAGCAAACACAGTTAAACCATAAAAAAAGAAGGAATATTTATGCAGCGTGAAGAGTGATATCCAAATGAATGAGACATCAGCCTTAGAAAGGCATGTAAAAACCTGTTATTGGTTCGTTTTCTCTGTTTCGTCCAGCCGCCTTGGGCTGCACTCTGCTGTGCTCAGTTAAAAACATGCTCTCGGTAGGTCTGGAGGCGCAGGACGAGCCAAACCGTGGCGCCCACACTTCCTGTGTTTATTAGCGGTTGCACAATGCCTGTTTATTATCTACATATGGTAAAATTATTAGCAAAAAGATTGGTTATTGTTTGTACAGACTGTAGTGCGAGTGTTCAGGTTAGATTTTCCATGAAAAAAGCAAAGTCGATATTTGTCACTAACCCAGGAGTAGCTATGTGAAGAATTCAGCTGGTAAACTTTGGCAGTGAGATTTAGCTGGCAGGAGAAGTTTCCGTCGTGAGATAAGTGTTTTTATTTTATAACGCTTTGTAGTAAAAGTTGATACTGAAGCAGGATTCACAAAAATTATTTGTCTTTCTGTGTAAGAGTTATTTAAGATGAAGAAACTCTTCAGGCAGGGCTTTGCTTGAAATGAGAGCAAAATGGCTAAATAGGATTTTCATGTTTATTTGAATGCTTCACAACCTTTTTGAGGGAGATGGAGTTAAACCATGTCCTTATTCATATTATTTGGATGTTTATTGATGGGTAACATCAACCTTGTACATCTGGTAACCCTTTGTAAGCCCACTGATGGAAATAAATCAAGGTTGAAAGAGTAAAAAGAGAAGTCAAAAGTGAAAGTCCAGCTCCAAATCAATACATTATCTCATCACTTCTGCAGAGTAGGAGAAGTGAAAGAAATATTAAAAGGAGAGATCTGTATTTAATTCATTTGCTTTTATTGAAAACGCGTGCTTTGGTTAGAGCCACATCTTTACAACAGTGAGGGATCGTGCTCATGGGAAACGCGGTTCTCAAGAAAACACCACCAGTATTAACCAAAGGGGCCGCTAGAATCAACACATCATGAAAACTCCTTACAGTGCCTTTAATCAGAGTTACACAAAGTGGAGACATAAAAACATTGAGTTATAAAAACTTTTTTGTCATTGCATTTAATTAACGTGAGATTGGGACCACTTTTATACATATACACCCGTTGTACACATACTAAAAGATATAGAAAAGTCATTTTTTTCCTGCAAAATATAAAAACTTAAACTATCTGTAAAATGAAGTTTAAAAGAAACGTAAAATCCATGGATTAGTAATTAAGAGTAAAAAATAGTCACAAAGATACTGTCCACATTTAAATTAGAAAAACAAATTTGCATTTTATCCAAATTTTAAACATTTCCAAGACCCGACACAGGGTTGATAAATGCAGCCCCCAAACTGACAAAGTCGAAAAAGGGTCAATTAGCAAAAAGTATATTAACAAATAATCAATTAAAGGTGTAAAAATAACAGAATATTTTCCTCAACCCCATTTTTTTTCCTATGCTTATTTATTTTGGCAAAAGCGTTATCCATCAGGTTTCCATTTGCTGGTCCAACAGCCAATCAGTGTGTTGCCAAGCCAGCAGATCAAGTCAGAAACAAACGGAGCGGTTTTTAAACGAGGAAAAGCCAAATTCAACTCACCAGTGGATTAGATTAGCAGTTATACTGTATATGTGGCACCGTTGACTCAAGCCTTTGGAGTAAACTTGGAGTTGTTGTCAACACACCATTCAGAGCTGCTTCTTGGAGGTTTTGGACGGCTGTAGATGAGAAAAGTGCAATAAGTTATAAGTTCAGCCCATCTTGTCATTGAACCTTGGGTCTCAACTGAGTGACTTTAAACTACAGTAGTTTTTCTTTTAAGAGAGACACAATAAAAGAAGATTGCTAAAGAAGTCTGGATGAGGAAGTGTTTTTGGATTGCAGTCAGCATGGGTTGTCTTCACTGTCACTTAAAAGACTTCACTCATGATTGTGGTCCCGCTCAGAGAGTATCAACCTAATACTCCTGATGACTAATCCTACATATCATGAATGTTTGATCAGGAAATCCATCAATATTCTCACCTAAGTTCTCGAGCTAAATGCTTTTTCCAATCCCAAAGGAGGGAGGATTGTAGAAAATAATGATCACAGAGAATTAGAACATGTTAAGAATAACCGCAACACAATTGTTGTAGAGAAAAATCTAAAGTAAAATCGTTTGGCTCGGGGAGGTTACTACTTTTACACTGCACTTGAATATGAAACAGTGCCACATATAAATATTGAGAAAAGACTGTGAAACTGTAATTACTGCTGAATTTTGTCCAAAAACCCACACTTATCTCAGAGCCGAGGACAAGTGGAGAGTCGTGCCAATCCTCTGAAGAAGTTAAGACATAAAAAGCCACACAATTGTCACCACAAGGTTCAAACCAAACACAGATGCCATGTTAGGGTGCCCTTTAGTGTTTCTTTGCTTTGGTGCCCAAGGTTTTGCATCAGATTTTGACATTCCAGCAAGCATGTGTGTGTGTATAAGTGTGTGTGTGTGTATACAGAGGGAAAGGGAGAGAGTATGTGTCTACATCTTTAGTCCCCGTCTCTCGCCTGGTGTGTGTCTGGTTCCCAGTGTTTGGAGTGGGCTCTGTTGGGACTGTGTGTAGAGCCTCATTAGTGGTTAAGGTTTGGCTGGCCTGCTGCTACTGGAGACTCACTCTGGGGCACAAAGTCATATGTTACACTGCTGCTGGACCATCTGCCATATTGGCCCTCACTGGAGACTCTTTGGTCTCTTTTTTTCTTTCTGCTGACTTGTGCTCATGTGAGAGCAGTGGTGGAAGGTAACTGGAATACTTACTCATGTGTCACGCTCAGTGACTGTCATGAGGTACGTTTTGATGCACAACCTGTGGGGCTGTAACAGATAGAGCAGTGAATATCTTAAAAAACTGTCGCCTGACCAACTTATCAGTGTCATTGTGTGAAGAAGAGTCTTTTATAAATTACTATTACTGTGAATTATTACTGTTAGCATAAGCTGTTTATTCAAATACGTTACAATACAGGAAACATGTTTGATTGAAAAATAGTCCTGCAGAGAGAGAAATCTAAATCTATACCCTTCAATGTAGTGCATTCAGGCAGGATAATAACAGCATTAAAACGTGAAAATAAATTCAATTCACTATAATTATTATTATTTTAATGTATTTATTTACTTTTACTCTTGGTGACCTTTTGCGTTGCCTTTCGTTCTTCCAATATTGAAATTTCTTGACTTCTCAGCGTCTGAATGAATGTTTATTCTGTTATCCTCCTGAGTCTCTCTGCCTTGCTCTGTCTGCCAAAGCAAGTATTGTTATCAATTATTATTATCAATATTATTATTATTATAGTGAGTCTAAACATAAAGCTTGTTTTATTGACTAAAAAATTATTACTTTATTGAAAAAAAAAGTGGTTTGATTCATCAAGGAGTGACTTTTACTTTTGAAATTGATTTTTCTCTCAAAAATAAGTTTGAAAATATGATTTTATTTTCATTCTGTGTTATTTCTACCTTGATCGTTGTAAATTTTTAATGAAATGATAATGAATATATCCCCCCACTGCTTTCTTCTACTGTTTATGCATCACCCCTGTTTTCGATCCGGCTTCATGCTTGTTCAACTGTTAAGATGTTTGTCCTTCCAGTGCGTTCATAAAGCAGCTGGGCAGAGCGGATAAGACGGTACGAATCAGCCGTATCATTAAGGAAGAAATCTCATGGATTTTCAGATACACGGAGGATTATATATTAATGAATTGTAAAGATGACCCCTGCTAGAAGTGCTTCATTGCGCAGCATCACTGTTTACAACCACACCACGCAGCTTCGGTTGTGTAATGTGCTGTGGTGGTGATAAAAAGTCGGTTAAAGTGGAAGCTTTAATAGCAGCGCTCAGCTGGAGAAAGGTTAATTATCACATCCTGTTACAGCGAGGGAGGACACTGCCTCCTGTCAAACGCACAAACACAGACACACACAAGCACTGACCCACACAAACATACAGACCATCAAACAAAACTGTACGAGGGTGTGTCGACTTTATAAAAGTGTAATCTGGCATCTGTTTGTCCTCATTTACCCCATCACCTGGTCTTTATTTCTCTCTCCTCTCCTCATTTTCTCCTCTTCTCTCTCATTTTCTCGCCTTTCATCCGTATAAACATCATTCACCGCTCATCCACACACTCTCCTTGGATCATGTTTGATACAATGTGTGAATTGGGCAGGTTTTTATCACATTGCTTGAAAAACGGGCACAATTCGGAAATGAAATGACGGATGAGTGGACGGAGGTGTGAAGCATTGAACCTCCGAAAAATGATTGCTGCTCTGTTGTCTGGAAGATGCCAAACAATTTAGGGCAGAAAAAAACATTAAACTGACACTTGGAAAGGAATCACAAAGATGTAGTGGAATTTCTCTCCTCTCTTCAGGTCATGAACCCTTTCAAAATATTTCTACTTTCTTTTCATGTCACACGCCTCCTCTATCCACTTTATCTTTCTCCTCAAACATTCCCATCTCCTTCTTTCAGTGCCTCCTCTTCCTCTTATCCTCCTACTTTGCACACATCCACCCCCTGCTCATGCTGTCTCCCATCCACCTCTTCTCTCTCCCCCCTCTCTCTCTCTCTCTTTTTCTCTCCATCATAATTTCATTGCCAGTCTAGACAGCTTCTGCAGCAGGTGCCTAGGCTGGGAGAAGTAGGGAAAAATAGGGTGAGAAGGAGAGGAAGGAGGGAGGGAGGAAAGGAGCCAAGGGGATAAGGAAGACCTAGTGAGAACAGAGAGAGATTAATAGATCAAGCGGAGAGGCGTATGATGAAAGTTTAGAGGAGTATGGAGAGAAGAGGAAAGGAAATGAAAGGCAGGGAAAGGGAGGGGTCAGGTTAAGGTAGGATTGGAGAGGAGAGGAAGGGAGGGGGGTGAGGAGAGGAGATATCTGGGTAAATCAGGTGGGTGCTATTAGAAGAGGAGAGGTGCGAGAGAGACTATTTTAATGCAAGGTAGAAATCAGGTGTTCGAGGTGAGAAGAAAAGGGAGTGGTAGAAGGAAAGGAGGAAGGGAAGGTGATGGGAGATGTGGTGCAAGGGAGCGAATGAGGAAAGGAGGGAAAAAAGGTGGGAGAAAGAAGGGGGTTAACACGCAGAGTGGATAGACAGATGGATGGAGTAAGTGCAAGGGAGAGGACAGGAACAGTGTTGTTGTGTTTTTACGGGAGGACACGGGCTGCAAGGAAGTGAGGTGGGTAATAAGGCCATATCTCATTCCTGTGGAGCAGCCTCTATCCTATTAGTGACTACCTCTCGCCGGATGACTTATATGCACCTCGTTTTTCACCAACACTATGACAGCAGATGCTTGGGCAGAAACAAACACACACAAGCGCACTGTCTAACACACACTCAGCAGCAAGTTCATACAGCCACAGGAGCGATGACAGGAAAAATCTGCTCCCTCTTCCTGGTGTGAAGGGAAAGTACCATCAGTGCGGGGGAAAAAATGACAGCTTACAACTAAGTTTCAGATCCAGAATCAATTTAGAAACAAACGTCAGTTGAAATAATTTGACATTATGAGGTTCTGGGTGAAGAAACATGTTCAGATTAATTAAAAATGTGAGCAAATACTCATGATTACATATATATTTAACCTGAAGAGTTAAGCAATTAGATACGTTACATGTTACAACGCTTCAATTACTCAGTCTTACACCATTAAAAGTGCATTAAAACAGCCGGCCAAGATTATTGATTGATGATGCTTAGATGTGGGCTCATGGGGGTTAATTTAGCAAGGAAGTGAAAAACAACAAGTTATTTCACCTCATTTGGAACAAGCTCACCATCTCTGAGAGGGAGAAAGTATTAACCCTTGATCAAACTGCTGCTAAGTTTGCAAAATGCAAAATGTTTCTGTCCTGGATAGTTGATCAGATATACTTTAATAAAATCAGTCAACTAATCAAATTTATAAATCACACAGGGGGATTGGATCTGTTTGTAAAAAAAATAGTGATCTTCTACCCTCCCTCAAAAGCAATGTTTGTTTTATAAGTTAGGGTTGGGCGATAAACCAAAAATTTACCAATACCAAAATTTACAACAATAACAGACATCGTTTTGCCCGTATCGGTATATTCCATGTCAAAAAATAAATCAATAAAAGTTGGTTTTGGATGTGTGTAGATAGGTTATGGTCTCATGTCCTTTTAAGTGATTTTGTGGAGTGTTACAAAGCCGGTCTGCACTGCCCTGTCCCTGGATGAGTGAAGTTTCATTAGAAGTCCTTGTTGCTTTTGCAGCTTAGCCAGCAACACTTAGGGATGTCTGTGTGTGCTCTGCATCTGTTAAGTTCTTCCCGGCATGTTTTGTCCCATAATGGGGATTCAAAATGTAATCTTTAATTACAGAGACCTACAGAGATCTGTTCGATATGCAATCCCCAGGTCTGGTTAAGATTGGAAAAAGTAGTTCTCAATCTCTGATCCTCTGGGGAGCTGTCCACCATCACTGTGTTCAGATAAATGTGATGTACTAGGGCTGGACGATAAACTGAAAATTTACCAATACCGAAATTTGTGACAATAACCGAAGTCATTTTGCCCATGTCAATATATTTTGTGTCAGAAAGATTAGTAAATAAAAGTTTGTTTTGGATGTGTGTAGGTAGGCTATGGTCTCATGTCCCTTTAAGACGCTGTCCCACATCAGAGACGTGACTCCACCCCATCCAGTCTGTAACAAAGAGGGAAAGACAGGTGAGGAGATGGAGGTCGGTCAAAAAGTTGTAGCGGCTGAAGTAGACAAAGTTAATGTGGGAGGGGGTGAGCAGCTTGTGGAGCAGTTATCATCCTTTTATCATTATCAAGGTGAGCTCCTCAATATATTGTGATATTGATTTGAGACCATATCACCCAGCCCTATTATAAGTTTAATTCTCTACAACCTAGAAATAATTATGTATAAAGATGCTATTTAAAACGCCATGTAAAGACAATGTGATAGACTAAAATGTTGAGAAATACTTCTTGAAACACGGCTCAGATAATTGATTTTAACATAAAAACCTCCTCTGTCAAAGCGAATAGCCAATCATGGTTCAGAGTTGTGGGGCTAACCCGAGTGGACATGCCCCTGTTTCTATCACTCCGGCTCTGTACCCTTGCAACGCTGTATTAGTGGTGAGTGATTTTACAAAGCGTTACAGCGATGTGTAAGGTGGAGATGAAGGATGTGTGAAGTGACAGTGGCAGCCTCACAAACGCGCACACTCAGACGCGTGAACACACTGTGCCGCTCCGTCGTCAAGGGACGATTATTTCACTTTAGGACTTAACTGTAACTATTACATCCTAACGCTGCTGAATTAAAGGAAAAAAGTGATAACTGTATGAACAAACTGTAAAGCGAGTCATGAACTGATGTACAGCTTTGACTCGTTCAGCCAGTCATAGATCAGTCTTAGACGAAGGAGAAGCTTTTTAAAAACTCTGTTTCAAGCGAGGAAGCAGATCATGTTCTGTTCAGCCAGCAGCCTTGTACACTTACAGTCGTGTCTGAGCGCCGTATAATCAGTCGCTCCAGGGACTTTTGTAATTGCAAGATATTTAACAAAATCCCCTTCTATCTTGCAAGGGTTTGCAGTTTGGACCAGTCCCACACTTTTACTTCATAAGCCCTCCTAAATCCTTTAATATTTCTAAAGCACCGTCATTGTGATAGAACAATCATATCTAAGAAGTCTGTTGTGCATTTTGAAACAATCTCAAACTGTGTTCAAAGCATTAGGAGGGGGGAAAAAAAGAGCAGCGCTAACTAACAATTTCACTAAAGCTGGCAGGAAATTCTTGTACTTAAAACATCAGTGCAGATTAGTATGAAAGAAAAACATTGATTGCTTTGAGATCACACACAAACACACTTGCAAAGAAATAACATGTTTTCAATCCAGTCTTGTCCTTTAAAGTGAAAGTTCATTTGTGTTATTGTAATTTACCGTCTCTACGATGACATTTTCCCCAGAGAATGAAGACTGACCCCATCAGACACCTCACCCGCTAGAGTCCAAGTGACCCCAAGGACTAATAGATTGGAGAAAGGGGGAATATAAGAATCCATTCCAATAATTTTAGCCATTTTAATTAAATTTATGCATATTCTTCCTGTGAAGAATTTGGGGCAGCTGTATCAGCAAGAGGGGAGGGGTGTTGGGAAAAGAGAGAGAAAGAGAAAATGGGTCACTTTAGCGGAGGGACTGCGAGGCTTCATTAGGAAACCCGTCGCAGTTGCTCACTGGCCCATTCTCATTCTGCCCCAGCGTTCCCAGTCTGCACCCACGGGATCCCAGTAGCACCCTAACATCTGTGACCTCATCAAACGAAAGAAATAAGCAGGCATCAGGTCACGCCGGTCTCACCCACCGCCACCTCGGTGACACGCTAACACCTCTCTCTCTATTTATTCTGCTTAAATTAGCGCTCTAACTTGACTTCCTGGCGGAGATAAATGTCAGGTGTTTCTTACCCAGAAACTTTTGTCAGCTTTGGTGTGAAAACCCGCACACCCTGTCTTTGCCTGTGAAACAATGAGAATGCTAGCTGTGAAACAATCTGATGCAAACTGTGTGAGGAAATAGATGTATTGTCAATTTTGATTTTTCAAAGATAATAGTTCTTTTAACTGTTTTTGACTGAGGCATGTTCTCACAACACATCACAACATCATTTAACACCTGAAATAACATCCTGCCAGCACTAAGAGATTGTTAAAGCAATTATTTAGTATAAGAAAACATTATTTTCACTTTTTTTTAAACACATCTTTTACTTGGGGTTTTCTTTTAATTCTCTTCATGTTTCTTTAACTGTACGAATTAGTAATTTAAATGTCATTTTGAAATACAGTCATCAAACAGGAAAAGTTTTCATAAAAAAAACAAACTATAAAATAAGTGTTTCTTTTACTGTGTGAGCAGATGGAAGAGGGCGATGCTCTATCAGAGTTGCTCCACTTTCAAAGCACTTCCTCCCTCTTATAACTCATTTGCTCGCACTCATTAGCTATAATTCTCCCTTATCCCCCTTGCTCTCCTGCACTTTATAACACCCGTTCATTTTTCTTGTTTCCTTTCCATGTTGTAGACATTTTCTTTCACTCGTTTCCCTCCCTCAGTCATTCATCCTCTTGGCCCCAAGTGCGAAAACGTCTAATATGTCTTTAAAAGTAGGACACCGCTGAGAAATTTGTTACACCTAACAAATGATAATTCAGAATTGTCACCATACATCCCTGACTGCAGGGCCACCCCGAGCACACAGTAGCATCTGCTGCTCTGAAACACAGTCATCATAATGTTTTTCACCATTGTGGTGCTGAATTGAATTAGAAATATAGGATTATTTCACAAAGAGGTGACACCGTCTTCCAGCGGGGATGTTTTAGCCCTTGTGTAAACTGCGTCGGTACACTTTGATTACACTGAATTTGCAGTGTTGTAACTTGCTAATAAGGTCGGGAGTTTCTCCCACTGATAAACATAAAAGGAGCTTCCTTAATCCTGTTTGTGTGTCAGCAACACCAAACAGGAAACTGCTAGGGAGGCAGTACATATAGATGGGACTCAGATATATTATATGTAAACTATGGCTGAGACGTTATTGCTACAGTTGGTTTGTGTGCTACAGTAAACATGTACTGTAGTTTGCTAGCTGGCTATGCTAACCTATCTTATTTAAGGTGACCAGATTTCTGTAATGAAATCCAGTGGACATCCAGGGGGCGATATTTTTATTTGTTGGACGGTAGCGGAAGGTCCCGCCTCCCTTCGCCTTTCACCATCCTACAAAAAAAAATTTCGCATCCAAGGGTGGGGGCGCCAAGCAAAGGTGATTTCAGGCCCTTTATTTCTGGAGAGTGGTGGGGTGGGGGGACATTGGCTTTGCTGTCACAGACAACAATTCAGCACTACGTAGTAGCAGCCCCCCGTAATAACCCCCTGTAAAAACAGTTGTTCAGGACTGCACGCAACATGCTTACTTGCGCTTCCTACCTACTCGGCTATCGTAATAACCGTTGTTCTACTCTACATGCAACATTTTTTTCTCATTCATGAAATGCTCGGGGATTGTCTCTAGAAACCGGGGATGTCTAGTCACCCTCATCTTATTTTTTGTACAAACTGTCTGGAGATGGGAACATGTGTCAGACTTTTATATGTTTTACAGCCCTTTATGACAGGCATTGGCAACACAGACAAAGAGCAACATTAGCATTCATTTTGAGTTGTTATTTCAGCTATTGTAGAGTAAGTCCAATATCTCCTGTCCATTTAGCTCTGTTTTTGTTAGTATGCTAATGCCCAGCCATGTCCCCCTGCTGTTGCTAACCTTTTCTGTCCCTCAGATCAAATCCTTTCTCTCTGCCATGTTGTAAGCTGTGTCCTTTATGGACTTAGCTTGCCAGTTGCTTTAGTTTTGAAAAGGGAGTCAGTGTCTTTGATTGAAAATAGACAGTGAGCACTTGCTGGAAATAATTGCAACCTTTCTGTTCAGTTTTTAAAAGTGGATCGCAAAAGAGCAGAACATTGTCATGAGAGTGAACTAGCCAAACCTGACTGTCATATTTGCCGACTTAAATTCATCAACTATTGCTGTGTATTGATGCTACAAGGACAAAACATGGACAGCACAACATGTCTCCACAAGTGATACCAAAACTTTAAGAGCTCAGCCTGGTATGTGGCTGCAGTATGGCTCATAAAGCAGGCCTCCATCATAAAAAAGTGGTCCATCGTGGGTAGGGCTGGGCGATATGGTCTCAAATCAATATCATGATATATTGAGTAGTTCACTTCGATAATGTTAAATCGACAATAACTACTCCACAAGCTGCTCATCCCCTCCCACATAAACTTTGTCTACTTCAGCCGCTACAACTTCTGAACCGTCCTCCATCTCCTCACCTGTCTTTCCCTCTTTGTTACCGACTGGATAGGATGAAATCATGTCTCCAGTGTAGGACAGCGTCTTAAAGGGACACGAGACCATAGCCTACCTACACACATCCAAAAACAACTTTGATTTATTTATTTATTTTCTTGACACTGGATATATTGACATGGGCAAAAGGACTTTGGTTATTGTCGTAAATTTCGGTATCTGTAAATTTTCAGTTTATCGCCCAGCCCTAATCGTGGGTCAAACCAGAAATTTGGATGATACATCAAAACCCTTTTTCTCACATATGCTGCCATGACAGTCAACACTTGTTCTGCTGATGTTCATGTTGCGGGGTCATCTTACAAAAAGAGGTGATGTGACATCATGATTGACAGCTCTGGTGACAAACAAGGGCTCTAGCAGCTGCCTTTACCAGTTTAGCAGATGGAGGAACAGCAAGAGAAACACAAGAGTCATTGAACTTCAGACGACCCCTAGTGTCTGTTCGGATCAACTCCAGGACCTGTCCTGCTGTGGACTGTACCAACCTGAGGGGTCTTTGCTCTTTTATCTACTTTTAGTTTGCAGAAGGGATAACATAAATCCACCAGCCAGTCTGCTTCTGTGTATGCCTCGGCGCCTTGAACACCACATGCACATTAGGCAATATTTTAGCTTCTTTTTCACAACAGGAAGAGGAGGAGGAGACTCACAGTCCATATTCATAAAATGTCAATGGCATCAAGCTTCCTACACTCAGCTTTTGACCTTACTGAGTACACTATAATGGTGTTCATACTTTATCATACTTTGCCATAATTGCTCCTGAGAATGCACTCTCAGAATAGCAAACACAAGAACACCAGTAATCGGCACTCCGTTCTTGTCTCTATGCAGTATGCTTGATATACTTTGCACAGTGCTCTCCTTAAGATATGTGAAAAGGATAAAAGTCTGCAGAAGAATAGAGGCGTAAGATGTGAAACTTGAAACCCTTCAGTTTAAATCCCCAGAAATTCGGTTACATTTGGTATGTTAAATCAAGACGCAAAGGCACACTGGAACATTGTAATCTAACTTTATATACATTTCTGGATACAGCTGCACTTGAGGTTTTAAAAGGAGATTTTCAAAGAAAGGCACATTTTGCCTCTTTTTGTTTTCTTACAGTCTTTACAAGTTGTTGAATGAGCTCGCAGAGACCGTATCTGTTATTATAATCCTGATTCCACTCAAGGTATTTTGCAGTCTCCAGAGACCCAAGAGCATTAGGTCACTTTTGAATACTCAGATAAGTTATGCGAGCAATTGTGCATCATGTATCTCCTCAAAATACTTCGTCATCCTTGCGGGGGCAGATTAGATGCCTGTTTCTTTCTGTAAAGTCTAAAACATCAGACAAACACACGCATACACAAGCTGTAAACAAGTTCAAGTTGTTTACTCAGAACTGTGTCATGCCGCTCTGAGGGTCCCTGTTGCCAACTTGACCTGCAATAACCTCCTTTAAATTCTGGGCAAACTTCAGCGCTGCATACGCACCTCGAAAGGGTAAACAAGTTTACAAAGTAAATGTGCTGTTAAGACATATTTTCATTCGGAGATGACACAGCTGATGAGCATATGATCGAGGAAAATTTCATACTCAATCTTCACAGTGATTAGAGAAAATGCAGCTCGAGTCAAGACTCCAGAGATAATGTTTGTAGGGAATCATGTCAGTGTTATGCCTGGCCCGACACTTCATTAAAAGTAGGGCTTATGAGATGGCCCTCCGATGCTGGCTGTGATGCCCTGCTTACCCACTTGCATAGATGATGAGTCCAGCTGACAGAAACTAAGAGGAGTGTTTCACACATGCTGAGTGAAGCCAAACCAAAGCGAGCCGGGTTTCACGATGATGTCCTGGTTAGGGTTAGACATCAAAAAATAATCTGGGCCGTTGCTGTGCAGGTCATTGCAGCAGAAATAGTTTGGTTCATAGAGTGAAAAGGCTGCGTGAAAGCACTTCAGTGACCTACATAATACGCAGCTTCCCTTGTGGATCACTCCTGCCACTAACAAAAAAAAACCTTCAAGGTGATGTCCAGATGCGGCTACAAGAGCTGAATTTCTTTTTCAAATGACTATCAACATTTTGACTCTCTCTGAACAGTCGCTTTGGCCATCAGCATAAAAAGATCCAAAGACTGCTCTGAAGCGCTCCCATGGGAGTCTTCACAGAGATTCAAAGCAGCTAAAAGGGTTCGCAGACAGACTTTCACCATGGGTGCCACTTTATCACACAAAAAATCAGGGAGAAACCACAGCAATACTGCGTCTAAAGAAACAGAATAAACATAACTTGTCCGGGCTTTATCGAGCAAGCCCTGTAAAGCCAAAATCACTCGCGCCAACATGAGCTCTCCAAATGATCTAGTTTCCAAACTCTTCCTCTCCCGCACGAGGCTGCTGAGGCTTTAATTACTTCTGCAGGGCCAGCATAGGTGAAGCACATTCTCACTAACAAGGTGGTTTCCAACCTGGGAGCAGTGAAACACCAACAGGAAAAACAACATGATGGAGAGGAAAACTGCCGCCCACAATTGAGGGGTAACTGATGCTCATAATAACCCTCCACCCAACTGATTTCAGCAGCCATTGTCAGAGTGCTGTAATAGAAACACATTTGCAGGTGGGGTGGAATCCAGGGAGAAATGTGTCATCAGCTGAAAACAAAGTGTGAACCAGTTTTCCCGTTTTGTGCGCATACATTTGCCCCCGTATGTACAAGCGAGGGCAGCGCTTACATCTGTCACGTCTCACTCAGATTCTCCAGAGATTATTTCATGACGTAACCTTCTGACCTGAAAACAGGTCCAGAGGCCGAGGGACGCAACAGTTTAGCATGTGCTAGTTTTCTATGTGTTGTTAAATAGATCTGAATCTTTACATCATCTGATCAGGCAGTTAATGTATGCTGCCATCATTGTCTCTGCCCTTATTCTCTAAGTCGGTCAGCGGCACAAACACAGGAGTGGTGTAACAGCACAGACTAGTGGTGAGTCTTTGTCATGGCAGCTTGCTCCAGATGCCGCTGACAGAATCAGTCTTGTTACCGTCTGATTGTGATTTCATTCTTCTTTTAAAAAATACTGTGACTTTTACTCTCTTAAAAATGATAAGGATTGAAATAACAGGTCATAGCATGTTTTAATAGTCATACTGCAATGTCTGGTTTGTAATCTCGAAGAAAGTAATTTTTTCTGAGGCCACAAAGTTCAGTAGAGGACCTTTCTAGAACCAAAATAACTCCATCTTCCAGTAATCCTCAGGGACCCATCTTGCAATCCCTCCACCCTCAAAGTGATTTTTCTATTTTGCATCGACGCTGTGCGCTTCGCTGCGCTCCTTAGATGGCAGAAGAATTCAGGATAACAGCGCAGGGTCACTGCAGTCAGAAAACACTGAAAAAAAAACATCTGGATCTGTGCGTTTTATGCATGCAGTCTATTTTTCACCAGTGGTTCAAACACCTCTGTGCCAGTATTCACACATCATGTGTCCTAATGCGACCCCTTTGATCCCTCAGTGCGTGTACTTCTCATACGTAGGTGTGTAGGCTTTTCCCACCCCTGGTTTCTCAGGCCCTCATCCCCTCACAGCCCGCACCGTGTATGAGCAGCTGGCATGAAAGCTTCAAAAGCTCCTGGTAAAGGAGGAGATCTGCGTTTGACCTGAACAATTATCAGATACTGCTTGAATATACAGTATGTCAGTGTTTGATCTGGACGTTTTAAGCACACGGACGCAAAAATCAGTTTGAAGACAGAGCGGTCTTTGTGAGCGGTGACTTCTGAAAGGCTAATGCTCTCTCCTAATCCCTTTCTCCTTCTCCTCCTCCTCCTTCTCTGTGTCACTCCCTCTCTTGCAGGAGAATTCTGGGGAGATTTCTTACTCTTTCGTTCCTCAGGGATGAAGCAGAGCAGTGGATCTGTGTATTGAAACAGGTGAGTGAGCGAACATCATGATCACCTTCAAACAAACAACCACGTACACATACACGTGAACTCCGTGCCCCTTTTTGGTGTGATCTGGGTCAGATTTGTGCATGATTTATGTAGCTAAAAGGCCCTTCTATGTTTGCTGAGAAAAAGCACAAGAGAGGGAGTTCAAAAAAAGACAAAGGGATGGATGTTTCTTCTGAGGAAGACGGTGAAAGCAGCACAGAAAAAGAGAGAAAGACTCATCCTTTGGGAGAGAGGGAAAGCCAGTGAAGACACAGTCGACAGGATGAACGACAGGATGAAAGTTTAACCAAACATCGGCTCCCCACAGGAGCAGGCGAATCTGCTGCCGTCGCAGTGGACAGATGGTAGGAAAGACATGCAAAGAGACAGACGGGCAGACAGGACGAGACAGAGCGGCGATCCCCAGCTGTTTTTAAAATGCTGCCTCTGATACATTATTGAATATGCAGCTCTCCAACGCATCGCTGAGCTTTCCTCTCATGTTAGTGCTCAAGTTCGCATAGCGTCACCGTTCTAAATATAAAGCATTCGCTCACTCCCCCTTTGGTTTGTTAAAGATGCAAAGGCTGCACGTAGGCTGTGTGTATCAATCTGTGTGAGTATGTGTCGCTCTGAAAAAAAAAAAAAAAAGGCACTTTCCCTCTTTTTGAGGCCGGCTGGAGTTTGTGTGTGTGACTCAATTTTGGAAGTAAGCCTCTGCAAACTTGACAAAAACAAAAATAGATTTCATCAAACTCTTTGAAAGTAGCGTCAGAAGATGCGAGGAGTAGACCGAAGCGAGGGGAGTGCTTCAGTGGGAGTCGCATGTGCTGTACAGAGAAGGAAGAGAGATGTTGCTGAGGGGGGGGTTGGTTTTAAGATCAGACAGCATGTGGAACACTGCAGGTCTGTGTAGTACAAACAGTAACTTAGTTTGTACCCCTCTTTTTTAAGCTCCCATTTTCCCAACTTAATAAGTCAGATTTAGATAGAGGTCAGTGTCCTTAGACTCTCTGTAATTCCAGCTCTGGCCTACAGGTGGCAGCAGAGCAGCATACCCAGCAGGCATGTCTTTAAAGCAGGCCAGATTGGCCCATTTTACCAGCACGTCCCCTTCTAGGCCTCCCCTCATTTATCTCCCTGTCTCATCCAAGACAGCTTCTCAAGTAAATGATTCCTCCCAGCCAAACGAAAAAAGAAAAAACAATCAATATTTATTCTTTGTGTTCATAGATCAAGTGTGCATTTGAATTGAAATTCACATGAAAATCTCTCTCGTCCTATTTCAGCTCTGGCTTTCCAAACTTCATGTTCGAGGATGAACCATGAGCAAAGGTAAAGAAACTTCAACTTCACTTTGTCTCGCCATGCGTGCCTTTGCAGGAAAGGTGTGTGTGGGTGTGTGTGTGTGTGTGCGCTAATGTTTTTGCTATTGTGTGCTGGGGAGGAAGCACGGACACCTGCGTCCTCCCTGATGCTAGTGTGTATGTGCATGCGTGCGCAGCTGTTCGGAGGGTGTGTGTCCCTCTGCGTTCTGACAGATGTTGTAACGACATGATAAGCCCTCTGGCTGCCAGTATCGCTGTGTGAGGTTGCCATAGTGACTGTGTTAAGTGTTGGTGAGGCCAGAGAGGAATATGAGGGTGCTGAGCATGAAGAGAGGGGGTGGAATAGGAAATGAAGTGCTTGGTGCCTCCGGCCTGTGTGTGTGTTTGTGTGTGTTTCTGTTTTTATGTACGAGTGGGTGTGTTTGTGCGATGTTTATGTCTGTTTGTTTGTGGACTTCCACAAAGAGCACAGAATTAAAGTGAAACTCATCTGTGTAATTGGAAATTTGATCAAGATAACTCACTCACACACACAGTCAATCATGTACATGCAGACACCACACACACACACACGCGTTCAGTCTGCGTAGGAGCGGCAGAGACAGGGTTGATGGCTGCGGCGTGGGCTGAGGGTAACCTCCTCTGCCTCACAGACTAACACCATGAGTGGGTCGCTCTTGGTATCACTTATCACTTAAATTGCTGCGTCAATGGAGCTGTAGTGTAAACTGGTACGAGCGGGAGAATTGCCCTCTGCTATCATGAGCGCAGAGACTGTAAAACACTGAGGTTTAGAGCGGCGTGCAACTCCAAGGGCGAGCCTCAAGTTCAGACTGCCGACTCTTTTTGTGTGTTGAGGAATAAGAATTAAAAAAAGAGACTTAAAGACAGTTTGTATCTTAACGTTAAGGACTCAGAATTAAAGAGTGGACACTCATTTGAAAACAGCTCAGATTCAATCTGTCACTTTTAGCACTATTTAGAAATACCTGAACTTTGAATTATCTGCCAATGAAGGGAGTTGAATAAAAATTATAATTGGCTGATAAAGTCTTATTTTTTTCACTTTTACATTCCAATCAGAAAACATTAGATAACTACAAAATCTTACTTTTATAGTGAACAAGGTATGAAACTGAAGTGTAGGTGTATGCTATGAGCAAAGTTGTATGTGTAACGGCATCGCCAAATAAAATGAAGATAGGTTTTCAAACAAAATTTAAAAAAAATGTGAGTTCATTATTGAACAAACATTACGGTCAAAGTTGAATCCATTTGACAGGGTCTGAGTTAGTTCAACTGATAGAAGAGAAAAGTTATGGAAAAAGTTTTGAGTCCAAATATTTTAAGAGAGTATTTAATGGTTTTTAAAGGTTGTTAAGCTACCCAAACTTGATGATCTTTTTAAGTTCTATTCATTGACTATATATAGAATAGACGCTGTCTGCCTCCTCGCTGAGTGAAGCCACCGCGAGAACAGCACCCTCTGGTGACGGCTGCAGTATAGGTCATAAATCCCGCCTCCTCCAGCCATCCCTATGGAGCTGTGGACAAACAAAATTTATTACGCTGAATATAAAATTTTCTCCCACCTGCTTGCAATGTTGACATTATTGTAAGACTGGTTTGTGCTCAAGTCCTCTTTTTTCTGTGCAGTTCCATTTTTAAAAGTTATGAGGGGGTTCATGTTTTCTATGATTGACACTCGATACAGCCTATGGGTGTATGAAGATCGTGTAGCTCACCCAAGGGGATACGCTGTTTGAGCAGAGCGTCACCTTAGCAACTCAATGCTACTAATACTAATACAATACTACTGTGTGAGTGGTGGTTCCAGGGAGTGGAGAAAATCCCGGAAACACAGAGAGCAATTCGGCTTCAAATTCATATTATGTTGGAAGGCTGAGCCAAGTTGTCCATAGTGTGTACAGTCTTTGGTATTAATTGAAGGAGTGATTCCCAAATGGGAGAACCCCTGAGGTGAGGGTCAAAGATTCAACAGGGACGACACTTACAGCTCTGCTCTGTTTGAGAAGCATGGCTAGTTTTGTAAAAGGACTACTAGGTAATTTTTTTACACCGCAATTAATCGATGCCAAACCTCAAAACTGCTGGAACAAAGGCACATTTTTATGACAAGTCATAACTCCACATTCAGTGTTTAGCCAATGCACTGTCACTTCTAATTACCTCCTCAGCAAAAGGGACTCTCTGGTTTTTCTGTTTATCACCCACTGAATTTGCAGAATACTTTCCAAATGACTCTAGAAAGATGTAAGAATTTATTTGCAAAGGATGAGTTCATGTGTAGTTTAAGAGAGGGAAGGGCTTGAAAATATTGTCATCTGCAGGAAAAGTTTAGGAACCACCGCAGTAAAGGATAAATAAACTTTTGGCCATTTGTCGAACAATTCATTTAAAAACTTTTTACCCTCAGTGTTTGTATTTTTTATACCAGTTTTATTTGTCTTTATGCATGCAAGCCTGTTGGTTATCATCATGTTGGTTTTATGTCTTTTCTGAAGAGTTAAATAGACGTTAAAAAAAAAAAGTATCAGCTAGAAAATGCAAATGTTAAATGTTAATGCTAATATGGAAGAGTAGGAGGCAGCAGTATTAAAAAAATATGTGACAGGGTGCATTAAAATTTTAATATTTTAATCACTGAGGTGAAAAACATCCTGTCAGAGCTCTGAATTAGCGGGTGCGTTCCCAGGGGGCCCACCTTGAGTGAACCGGTCTCATTTGGACTAACAATTTAAATCACCCCTGAAGCTGCTCTCACACAACAGTCCTCACGCTTGTCTCCTGTATCTCCACTCTGTGTTGTTGCCCGCTTTGTGTAACAGTCATGGCGGGAGATATAATGGGCTGCAGCGCACAGGGCTGGCTTCACACAGGGATTACACCTAGATGATTCTTCAATAGAGAATTTAGACGAGCTTAATCCACTGTGCCTGCGGAAGCGGACTACAGCGCGGTGAAGCCGCGGCCAGATACGCCGGAGAACAGAGAGCAGCCAGATTACTTCATACGAGGGAGAGAAAGGAGCTGAGCTTGAAATTGCTTGACGGAGCGTCTCCTGACAGCTCCTCCCAAATCTCTCCACTCTCTCTAACGCAGTCTGAGGGAAACATTGTTCCCCTTTCAGCCTATCTCACTCTCTGCTTCCTTCTACCGGTCTGTTTCTGTCTGACCATGTGAGGTGAGGGAGAAAGAAAGAAAGTGAGAAAGAGAGACAGAGAGAGAGAGTGTGTGTGTATGTTATCGCTTCATTAGCCCGTAGATTTCTGGGTCATTCATAGCCTTGTTCCCACTGTCTCAGATGCTGTAATTACCCTCACATGAGTCACATCTGATAATTAGGATGGTCCAACCAGGACACACACACACACACATTCACACACACAAATCAGGCTTACACGTGTGACATATGCACACACACACACACACACACACACACACACACACACACACACACACACACACACACACACACATATCAGTCATTAGTGGAGAGCTTAACATGCAGTACAGTGGTAATGGGATTATCATTGCTGAGGGTCCCACTCATCCACCTCTTACTCCTCTCTCTATTCATCATCAAGCACCATTCTTAAACACTAAACACTTTTCTACATGATCTTTCTTTCTTTCTTTCTTTCTTTCTTTCTTCCTTCTTTCTTCCTGTCAAACATTCAAAGTGTCTCTCCTCTCTCTGTTAAAGCATAAAAATTTGCATGACCACCTCTCAGGACAGTCTCAGCACCGCACCATGGTGGCCTTGAGGTTTAAGCGGCTGACCATGAAATTCTGATGTCCCTGGTTCACGTCTGGTTAAGGGCATCAATTACATGTCTCTTTCTAGTTCCCACCTGCTTCCTCGCTGCTCTTAGCTTTCAAGTGAAAGACTGGATGTGCCTGGAAATATTCTTTTAA